ATATAAAAGTAAATTGTATAAAGATTGAGACGTATATCCATAGTGATAAAGAATCGTATTTTAGGGTTAGGTAGCTAGGCGTTGCGTTTAGTGGGGTTGCCTTTGGTGGTTTGGGCGATTTGGGATAGGGCTGAGCTAATTGAGATACAATTTTTAACTAACATTACTTATTATTTGTCTTCATATCCACCTCTTGAATGTAGTTATCTCTATCTGTATTTGTAATAGTCTCGAATACAATCTCAGTATCATAAGTCGGTTGAGTACCAGATTAGGGCTTTAGTGTTGCTAAGGCCGAGAGACAGAACATGAGCCTCGGGGATCTATACTTGGAACGTAGTACTTTACTAAGAGAAATTGCACATAGGTATCGTAGTTTACGACGTTACTGTAGCTCTAAGTTTTCTTTAAAAGAGGAGAGAGAAAAAAAAATTAATGAACAAAAATAGCTCCGAGTCATTTATGTAGGTGTCCTCAAAAAAGAACTTGAATTTCTGTTCATGTTGGGATACCTTCTTCGCCTTGCTATACTACATATATATATGTGAGGTTAACTGTAATCTTTTATGATCATCTTCTGGGATTTGCTTTCGAACAACATTGCACACGGTTTCCTAATACCTACTCGATCGATCTACCGTGTACACATGCCAGACCGGGGTGTGCGGTCTTTCTAGAATGGATGGGATCTTCATCAAACGAACGACGTCTATATCTCAGCACGCGTCTTCCAATCATTTCACTAATCCTGGGCCACGCGGAGGGTAAACCACGCATACTAGCTAGCGAGCATGTGAGTTATGAATGCCAGGCAGCAGCAGAGTAATACTACACGGTAAGCCAAGGACGATTGTAACCCTAGTGTGATGTACGACCGTACTGGAGATACTCGTTCTTCTCGTATTAACTCTGCGAAGACTATGCTCGGATATTAGTACTCAGTGAGCTACGACTTAGCGAGATGACGACCACGTCAACTCGGATAAAGTGAGTGGCACTGAGTGCACAGCTATACAGCATGCACTCGGATTAAGTCTCCGTCTACTACGTAGTAATGCAAATTTAGCGTGAATTGTCGCCTGACTCCACACTCCTTCAGCCGATGGTTTAGCCCAGACTATCGAACCACATCGGAACCTGTCCGAGACGTAGCACTCAACGTCATTTACGTTTCGCATTGTGGAATTTGTTCATATTCATAATATTGTAGCGTAAAAGATTAGTATAATGGTGGGTAATAGTCGTAACTCGTTAACACTGATTTCTCGAAGCCAAGCACCCTCACTCAGCCCATAGTTTGTGCGTCCAACAACTCTTCGGCATTCCGACGAAACACCCGCTCGGTCAACTTGGCATCGTTGCCGCATATCCGAAGGCACAGTTCCGTGAACGGGGCGATATCAGTCCCACAAAATCGTGTATGCGGCCAATCTGTCGCGAAAAGCACGCGGCTCGGGGCCTCTCGGAGAAGTTCTCGGGCCATCATCTCAATGTCTCGCATTTCATGGTCCTTGCTGAGCCGGTATGGTGCGGAGATTTTCACATATGTGTCTCCCGCTCGGAGGAGGGATACCAGGGATGAAAATCCGGGCAGCGAGTAGGGGTCGAACGAGGCTCTATCTTTCCAGCTCGTAGATAATAGATCCGGGCCACCAAAGTGGTCGATGCAGAGTTTGACACCGAGCTGTGGGACAATAGGCTCGAGCAGTGGGATCATATCGAGGGGGACGTAGACCTGAATAGCCCAGCCGAAAGGACGGACAATCTCCGCATGTTGCAATAGCGTCTGTGCCAGCTCGTCTTGGTCCATCACTTTCCCTACTGACCTCAAGTTCACCCGTACTCCACGTACGCCTAATGAATGCCATTCGGATAACGTTTGGGTATCTATGTTCATCGGGTCAATCACCACGACCCCTCGCCCGCGAGAAGGACCGATACGCCTCAGTGCTTCGAGAAGACAGGAATTGTCATATCCGTATATTGATGGTTGAACAAGGACGATATTCTCAATCCCTAGGGAAGACTCAAACGCTAGAGCCTCCTCGATAGTATGTGTTGAGGGTTGGTATACTGCGCTTGCATCTACTGGAAATCGATGTGGCTCAACGACATGCATATGTGTATCCCATGCTTTGGCGGGAAGCCTCTGTCTTAATGGGATGGTATGCACAGGTTTCTGTTCATCCCTGCTGAAAGGAAACAGCTCCCCCTTTTGGAAGGTGGTTAAGGAGGCACGAGGACCAAGGACAGCAGGTCGAGGCTGGACAGACGTAAGCATGTTGAGCAGGGAACGGCAGGGTATTTTCCGAAGGTGAGAGGACGAAGAAGAGTCGTTCGATGATGAAAGGATAAGAGTATCACCGATTGTATATAGTGACCCAAAACGGTAAACTGTCAGGACTCAACTCACTAAGATCGTTGGGGGTATTCTCCCGACTGCCCTCTTCGATAGACAAGTCCGTAGAAGTATCATGTTTAGTTCCAAGTCCGCCAAGTTATAATACCAGGTTTACAGCAGCGGATTTAGTCTCGCCAACTTTCCGTTTGCTTTACCGGAAGCAAGGCAGGAAGAGAAGGGGGAAAAATTAAAAAGGGACGAATCAGTCAGTGACCCACAGGGGAAGTGGCTATCTTCTGTTCCTTGAAGCCTTAAGTAAGGCATGCTGACAACGGAGATTGTCCGTGAGGGAGTTCAGCAGACTGCGGATACTATCAAATATACTCTTTCTCGGAGACGTCGGATAATCCGATTTGACCGGAAGTTATATGGAGGAGTGAACCAATGATAGAGTGAGATCTTGGAGTGTCACTGGTAATTACGGTAGGGAAAACAATCATCCCTTCGACTCCGTATACGGTGTCAAAGTCTCCCAGCAGCAGTAAGGGTCTCTCCTTCCACGTACTAAGCGAAGAGAGAGTGGATTCAGATGGGCGGAGACAGCCGACAAACGACCACGCCTTGAACCGTGCCAAGTTGAATGGGAGTCCACACGTTCTTCTGAAAGCTCCAAATGCCGCATGCCCCGAGTGACAGATGACTGGATGCAGGATTTTTTTCTGCCGCTTCTGCACGGCGTAACCTAGAACATCACGATCCAATGAATCTCAAAAAGATCTTCATGGACATTACACAAGTGAGGAGTAGAGATTTAAATTGAAGGAGGAGAAGAATGGCGACAGAGCGGAAGTTGACCGAGACGGAGGGGGCGTGACCTGGAAGCCCTCTTTTAAAACTCTTCGCCGTCCGTTTGCCCCCATCGCGCCGAAAGGTCCTCTTCCCGTCTCCAGTTCGGAGAGTACCCGTCCTCGTTTATACTGCCCCCGAGAATAATACTACTCCAATCTCGAAGGATCGCTTAGTGGTTGTCATTGTCTGATTTCCCCGGATTTTTTCGATTTCGGGCGAATCGAACAAATCACGTTCCATTGCGCCCCCTTTATCCTCTCGCCGTCCAATCGCCGTCATGGTGGATTGGTCCCGGTGGAAGACCCACCCCTACTATGCTCTCGTTATCTTCATTATTGCATGTGGGAGCATACCCAAAGGTGAGATAGTGCATGATCCTGGTCTATATCATCGTATATATTCAATCTAATTCTGACCGGGCGTGCTTTGTACAGGTTATGATGAAGGTGGCTTCAGCGCTAGCGTGAAATTGGAATCTTTCAAAGAAGACTATAACCTCATCGCATCCAATTGGACCCACGACAAGACGGGGCTCGCGAACCGCAGTGCTAATATCACCTCTTTTAATGTCCTGGGGGCGGCCTTCGGCGCACTCTTCGCCTTGGACCTGAACGACCGATTCGGCAGATTAAACTCATGGCGCTTGGCTTGTCTGGTATGGGCGTCGGGCCTGTTCATCCAGGTCTTCTCCTCGGGCATATATGGCCTCTTGTTATTCGCGAGAATCTGGAGTGGTCTGGGAGCTGGAGCTCTGACCGTGACGACACCGCTCTATTTGTCGGAGATTGGTACGTGGCCCCTCGTGTTTAACTGAGACACCCTGGAGCTATATTGCTAATGCTTATTAGCTCCCGCAAGAACTAGAGGACTTGTGGTTAGCTGCTACATGGTCATCTTGCTGGCCGTTTTAGCTATGGGTAAGTCTAAGATCTCATCAATGGGTCCAACAAAGCTTGGATTGCGGAAGCTCATCTCGGCATTCTTGAAAATTAGGCTTCTTCATTAATTACGGCGCCAACCAACACATGGCCCCGACCCGGAAACAGTACCGCCTGGTACAAGCCATCCCCCTAATTCCAGTCGGACTCGCCATGGTGGCCTCCTACATTGTCCCAGAAACACCCCGCTACCTAGTCTCCAAACAAAAACACGATGAGGGCCGCGCAGTACTCGCGCGCCTCCGCGGCAAAGACATCAACGACCCCGAACTCGAAGCCGAATTCGCCCTAATCGACTCACAAGTACGCGCCAAAGCCAGCGACCTCGCCACCGTCACCCCCTGGACAGCCTTCAAAGAAACGCAAACCAACCCCAACTACCGCCAGCGCTTCTGGCTCCTCATCGCGATGCACACAATCGCCCAATGGACCGGCGGTAACGGCATCACCTACTACATCTCGACGATCTTCCAGTACGCCGGCGTAACAGGCAACTCGACCTCACTGATCAGCTCCGGCGCCTACGGCATCGTCAAGCTGGTCTTCACGATGGCCTTCACATGGGGGCTAATCGACCTGTTCGGCCGCCGCCGTTGCGCCTTGGCGGGTCTCAGTCTCCAGCTAGCGGCCCACATTTACATGGGTGTCTACATGGGTCTTCAACCCGGCTCTTCCGACAACAAATCCGCGTCCGACGCCGCCATCGCCTCCGTCTTCGTTTACGCCGTCGGCTGGTCCATCGGCCTTTGTACCATCCCCTACCTCTACGGAACGGAGATCTTCCCCACCCGTATCCGGAACGTGTGTTACGCGATCAGCATGTCGCTGCACTGGTTTTTCCAGTTTGCCGTGGTCCGCGTCACGCCTAATATGTTTGCCTCGTTGAATGTGTGGGGCGCCTACCTCTTCTGGGCTATTATTTGTACCCTTGGTTTAGTTATCCTGGGCATCTGGATGCCGGAAACTAAGGGTGTGCCGATCGAGCGCATGGGTGATCTCTTCGATACCCCGTGGTACCTGCGTTGGCGTGCCCGACCCAAGTCCGATGACTCGCCTGAGACGGCCCCTAGTGTCTCTTCTAGCACGGATGCTAAGCAGGCGAAGTACCAGAATACGTCCTTGTAATATCTTCTTCTTGGATACCCTGCCCCTTCTAATTTATTCTCTTGTCTCTATATTTACGAGATTTAATATTTCTTCTACATACATACCCTTTTATTCGCTCTGTGAAAAGCTTTGTTGCATGTTAATACACAGCATATACATCTTGTACGTTTTGTTGTCTTATACCCGCTTCGATGTATTTATATCCATTAGAAGTTAGAAGTTAGAGATTACAGCTATACCACCAAATGTCTTGTTTTGTCTACTTCCCCAAGAACGCGAAATTATTAACATAATGTTTCAAGAGGTATAAACAACCCAGGCATGCTCCATTCGCCTATAGCTCCTCTAAATGTAGAATGCTCAAGCCTTGCTTTTTCCACGCTGGCACATAAATTACTCTAACCGAGGCTCAAACGCAGGTGTCATATTAGTCGTGATGGGCTCTGCATACGAGAATGCTTCAAAGACTTCCGGCGTGATCTCGTACGAGCCAGGGTTATCTAGCGTCATTATTGCGTTGGGCATTCCACCCAGAAGATGAGTCCCGGCCATTTGAGGAACGCCTGTCTGTGAAAGCTCGAAATCCGCGACGGGCTGTTGGAAGGAATATCCCGGGAGGAACGAGGTGTTCACGCCTGATGGGGCGACGGAGGCAGCGATGGATGAGGCATCGGGGGAGGGTTGATGAGACGGGGAGACGTGGCGGGAGGTATCACTGAAAGTCGAAGGGGCGTGGAATTGCTGCTGCTGCTGCTGTTGTTGTTGTTGCAGCGGTAGACCTTGTGGTTGGGACGGGGAGTGACTATGACGAGATGGGGGTTGTGAGCGAGGTTGAGCTTGTTCCGGTTGCGGAGTTGGCAGCACGATGTGGATGTCGATCTGCAATTTCTGAAGCTCTTGGTAGATGAGACTGAGTGCGGTCGAGATCACTAGAACCAACGTTAGCACAATAACCCTATATTTGAGTGAGTGGACAAACATACCAGGGTTTGAGACCTTCACTCTCTCTAGAGCGAAAATGCAAAACTTGAGTTTGTCTAGCGTCCCGGGAGCAGCGTATTTCAAAGCTTGTATTTCGAGCAGGAATATCGACGCAGCAGTGTACACGCTGTAGGAAAGTGAGAGGACAACATGGGCATCGCCGAATGTGCGACGATATAGATCAAATAGAGACAAGATTGCTGTTGCAGATGTCATGCACTGGACCAGATGGCTCTTATCGTATGACTCTCGGTTTGTCTTGGAGCAGAGGATCGGACGATGGAGAAGGATGTTGATAGTGTGATATAGCGAACTGCAGTGAGGGAATGGTAAGCACATGAACAATATAGTAGGAGGTAGGGGTCGCGTACTTTAAGATGACAATGTGGCTCGGCGGAGAGTACGGAGGAAGGCTTGTAGGTACTAGTTTCAGATAATCGGGCAAATCGTCCCACCATTCCGCTAGATTCCTAGCTTGCTCGATCACACAATTGTAGAACTCTGCCTCTGACACTTGCCTTATAGGGTCATAGATGTGAATCAAGATCTGATTGAGCACCTCCGCCAATCCGCACATTTTCATGAAACAGGACGTGGAGTGAGCCTGAGTCGGGGGATAATGAGCGCCGTCCGGGAAGACAACGCCATGCGGCGTCCAGATTTCGATCTCTGAAGTGTCGTCCAATACTGTCCGTGGCGGACTAACTCGCGAGTGCTGCATCGTAGGCGACCGGCCAAAGTATAGGGAAACCATTTTATCCCAAAAGTAACAACTCCAGAAGAGACGGTTCCGGATCTCGATATCTTCATCGCTCAAGTGAGCGGAGTCCGAATACTTGCGGCTGTCGATGGATATTCCTAAATCTTCCAGCATTCGAAAAGCCATGCCGCTGTACAACCAAGCCTGGGACCGATTTCCTCTGCCGCACTCTTGCGCACTAAGTAGGAGCAATGTCTGAATGGTTGGAATACCGAGATTACCAACTTTGAGCGAATCATATAGACCAGAGACGGCGCGATGGGAGAACTGTGCACCGCCATCAAACGAATCGAGGATAGGGCCGATTCTTGGTTCGGACTTGCACCACCGGACCGAATGGGAGAGGATCGCATTGAGAAGAGCGTCTGAATAGTATGGACCGTTTATCTTCATATCGCCTACTCGTGGTTAGTTCTCATCCTCCACCAGTAGCAACGAGGTTACGAACGGGTAAATGCTGGTCGATAGACGAAGTTGAAGAGCGGCTGGATCCAGCACCAATGTGAGTCGAGGAGATATTGGAACGGTTCCTGAATTACGAAAACAGCAGTGTAAGGATAGTTATTCCTTTAGCAAGAAAGGTTCATGGTTAAACCTACTGGCATGGTGGCCATCTGTTCGAAGGCCCTTTCCCGCCACGCGTTGTTGATCAACCTTTCCTTTCGAGCTTCGTGCTGTACGGCAAGACGAGACGTCGACGCTGCCTCGTTAAGAGCACCGCTGGGAAGTTGAAACAAACTAGTCGGGCCGTGAAAAGATATTCGACCATCGTGCTCGACCTTCAGGCCTTCGAAATCCCTCGCGAGATCGACGCTACTACTTTCGTCTTCTTCTTTGATGCGAGTCCGAAGACTTGGGCTCATGCTGCCTCTACCTTCACCGGTAGATGATGGGGTGCTCGCCTTCCGCACCTCAGCAGCCGACTGCTGTTGGCTCCGTAGCTTTGACAGCGCATCTTCTAACTGGGCGACTCGAGCCTCCAACTGTTTGGTATACGATAAAGTTGGAGCTCTAAAAATACACAGTTAATAAAGTAGAGAACTATAACATGTAGTCGAGGTGATGCCATGTGTTAGGATCAAATCGAAAGAGATAGTGGGAGGGAAAGGAAGACAATCCGCACTCACAAGCTATAAACGCAGGTCTCTCCGCGCGCCGCACATCGAGAACATGAGGGACTAGCACCATTACATTTCACCTGGAGAATAGTATGTCAGCGTGCGTGCCAATAAGCATGGTACACGAAGGAGATCCTTCATCGCTTGTGATCTCGGAAATCATCCGAAGATATAGCAGGAGAGGGAGAAACCCACCTTTCGCTTGCGGCACGCCTCACACGAGAAGGCGCTCTTCCGCGGCAGACTGGCCTTAGCCGGCACGTCGGCCGTGCCAGAGGAGCTTGGTTCGACCACCATGGAATTGCGAGGGCAGGATCCAAGTTTACGGTGGGAAACCGATTAGGATACTCGACACCCGCCATGAGGTGAAATTGGAGGCTCACGCGAGAGGAGAGAAGAGGGGGAGCGAGGGGAGCAAAGGAGTGGGGGTCGTGCGAAGGCGAATGAGAGACACGACCAAAGGGGGCAATTTTCTCCAACAGGAGGATTTTCGGGCGAGAAAGAGTCTAAGTCGTGGGGCTGGCCTGGTAAGGGAAAAAAAAAAAAGCTTCTCTGAATCACGTCTCACTCCACCTTAAAAAAAAAGGTCCATGGCGATGATGCCAGAAAAAGAAAGTAGTGACGATGTCTCCTGGGCAGGTTTGACGACGGTTGGCGAATCAGAGCCACAAATGGGGGTCTGGTTTGTGGCGACTTTTTTGTTGAGCGACTTTTCTTGCCTAAGAATAAATAATCTTAAGCTTAAGGTCAGATGACAACATAGACAAGCTGATCGCGGTGGAGTTGCCGAGCCTTAAAGCTTAGGAATCTAGCCGCTTCGGGGTGTGAACGCCAATCAATCTATAACTTTGGAACCCCCGTCCATAAATACGAATCAATATTGTACATGATGGCCTTGCCATACGTGTCCCACTTATTATACAAATCTCTTCTCCAATTGCACCAGAATATCGTGCACCTCGTCAACCTTTAATGGCACCGCCCGGGGGTTCTGAACCGCCTGCTCTCCAAGCCGACTCACCAGCATATCCTGCAGCTTCTGGGCATTTCCGTCAGGCTTGCTCTGCAGTTGACCGGTGATGTCCACTGTGACACGCGACTCTGCAACATCCTTAGGTCCAACGATGAAGATAAAGTTGTACTTCATCTGTTTGGCCCTCTGGATCTTCTTTCCTAGCGTCTGAGGGCTGTCGTCAACGTCAATCAAAAAGGTCGAGTCGACAAAGGAGAGAGGCTGCGGAGCATTGTTGCCATGCTGGCCAGGCTCAAGCGCACGGAATCCCGATATCTTAGCCGCAGCCTCATGCGCCTGTTGCAGAACTTTCTCATCCTGATTGACCGTCAAAACAATTCCCTGTCGCGGAGACAGCCAGAATGGCCAGCGACCGGCATATTGTTCAATGAGTAGTGCAAGGAATCGCTCTATAGAGCCGAAGTTCGCCCGATGAACCAGCACGGGCGTTGCCCTTCCAGGGGTTGCCGGATTGTAGTCCTCCTCTCCCTCAGCCACCTGATACTCCAACCCGAAGCGCTGTGGTAAATTCATATCCAGCTGGATAGTCGAGAGCTGGTGATATTTCCCGGCTTGATCTTGGAGCTGAATATCGATCTTGGGGCCATAGAACGCACCGTCGCCTTCGTTGACTGCCCATTCTCTTCCACTGCTATCAAGAGCTTCGCGAAGCTGAGATTCCGCGCTGTCCCACAATTCCAGACTACCAATGAAGTCCTTCTCCGGTCGCGTAGAAAGTACCAGCCGATACGGCCCCAGTCCGAAAGTAGTCATAACCATCTCCACGAATCCAAGCGCGGATGCGATCTCACTCTTAATCTGTTGCGGTCGGCAGAAAATATGACCATCGTCTTGGTGGAAGCGTCGAACTCGAGTGAGTCCGCTTAAAGAGCCCGAAACCTCGTTTCGGTGTAGCGGGCTAAAATCGGCATAGCGGATGGGTAGTTCTCGATAGGAATGGTTTTGCGACTTGAATAACAAGCAATGGCCAGGGCAATTCATCGGTTTCAGTCCGTACGATTCGTCCTCTCCGGCCTCTCCTTCAGTATCCCCCATAGCCCCTCGGCCTCGTACCTCGTACATATCATCTTTATAGTTCTGCCAGTGTCCCGATATCTCCCAGAGAGAACGTTTGTAGATGGTCGGGGTTAGGACTTCGCGAAAACCGTACTGGAGGTATTGCGTGCGGAGGAAGGAAACGAGTTTGTTGATGACATGAGTGCCATTGGGGAGGAAAAGGGGGGATCCAGGGCTGTAGATAGAGGTGGTGAACAGGTCCTGCGCAGTTCCCAGTGCGCGATAGTCGGCGGAGGTAGATGCGGAGTGGGAAGGCGGCTGTTCAGGCTGGGGGTCGGAGCATGAACAGGGTCGAGTGGATGTGGTGGACAGCCATTGCAAGCGCGGCGGTCGGAGAGTGTAACGTGTACTGGGACAAGATTTCCGCAGGAGCAGGGACTGCCGTAGCAGAGGGTTTAATCGGCGCATGGTTGCTGGGGGGTTGATATCATCGTACAAGGAATTTTTTCGAAGCTGGCCCGTGAAACACGAACGCGATTGCCGATCGGCCCGATCTTGAATAAAGCACTCGTGAAATCCATCCCCACTTCTCTTCTTATCGTTCGTCAACAATCAATATACAGAAACCTTATCGTCGACAAACAAGGGTCCTTCCAGTCCTTTCTGCTCATCCTACAGTTATTGACATTTCGTTCACTTATTCTGACAGCTTTAAGACGCCCCAGGGGTGACACTTGGTAGAGTGAATGCTTCGGCTAATATAGCAACTGAGAATCATCCTTCACCTATGTCTACAAACTCCTCTCGTCCTCAGGATAGTTCTATCCTGGGCGAGTCTTGGGTAGTGGCATCGTCGTCCCCCGACAAGGAAGACCGGCCGAGTAAGGACCGGCCGTCTGAAAGCTCAAGTCAAAGCCGTCACCTAAACAAAGAGACTGGCCGTCATGAATGTAACAATGGATCCGACTCAATGACTACATCGGCCTCTTCCATATCAGGACCCGAACTCATTATGCCCTCAATCTACGAGACACCTATCACTGAAGGTTCCTGGGTTGCGCCAGCTGTGCGATCCAAATCCAAGACCGCACATTCTCTTAGGCGCAGACATAACGCAGCGCGCGAAAGCACACCCCGAGGAAAGAAACATGACCTAGATATGTCCAAGGACGGTGGCTCTTCTGAGCAAGGGCCGAACTCTAGTCAGGTAGATGAGAAGCTCGCTCGTCCAAAGTCAGCATCAAGGTCTAAAACGTTGGAAACGCTGATTCGAACCATAATAAACGTGCTACTTGTTGTGGCCATTTCGCATTTGCTCATCATCCCCGAAGTAGTCCAGCAGTATCAAACTCTCTGCACGATAGAAACTATTTCCACTCTATACCCGGCCAGTTGTATTCCACCCTACCCCCAGCCTCAGCCCAACCGTCACCGTGCATCCCGCTCCGACACCCTCGTATCCTCACAGATACGGCTAGAAGCCCTATTCAACACGACTCTGCATGCAATGACCCCACTATCGGACACACTGAAACAAAGCGAATCGAGGCTCCGCGACATCGAGACGGCGCTAAAGAAGGCGTACCCGGGCATGAAACACGAGCTCGACCTCGAATTTAGCGGCTGCTGGGAAGCCACCAGAGCCGCCACCAAGAAATTCGATTCCCTCAAAGTTGATATCCGTTCTGCGGTCGATAATTTAATCGCAACCAGCGGGGCTACGGCAGGTGACGCCCAATCCGCCGCTCAGGGCACCCGCCTATCGACGCAGATGTCGTGGCGTGAACAGTATCTGGATCAGCTAACTGCCCGCATGCAGAACAAGGCTGACTCTTTGTCGAACGATCTCGCCACGCTAGATGACCACCTGGAATCTATTGGCAGCATCTTGGTTCGGGAAATGAAACAATCACCGACATCTCTAGGTACAACAGACTCCGCTGCGGAATCTCCTGGCGGTGGACTCCGGGCATTTGTTGACAAATTGCCTTCGTTTTTCCGCCAAACAGCGGACGGAGACAGCCCAACTCGTCCGGATTTGTCGATATCTGAGCTCTTCCGGGACGCTGCGGAGCAGCATCGGCCCGTCGTTGATGCTGTGCGACGATTGTCCTCAGAGTTGCAAACCTTGCAGAAGAAGAGGGCATACTGATTGATGTGCCTACTGTTATGTTCATGTGATGTGTCTGATTGAAGAAACGATACCCGATTAGGTGGGAGCTTGGGAGTTTGGATAGGATTCAGGATACGAGTCATGATTCGGTTGCTTGCTGTCTGTTTGTTTACATTGCTTGTTTATTTGGTGTTCATGATTTGATGATTGGAAGCAAGGGAAGTAACAGTGTCCGATCCCATGTTAATGTTATCTTCTATCTTCGAAAGAGAAACATTCAGTCAACGGAAAGGTGGCAGATACGGTTACTTGCATAGAACAGCTTGAACTGATTTTGAAATGATATTATATAAATCCGTCCGAGCTTAAATATAAGCCAGTATCAAAAGATTCTTCTTCACAGTGTGTGTGTGTGTGTGTGTGTGTGTGTGTGTGTGTGTGTGTGTGTGTGATATGTACCTAAGGCTACAATTAACGATACAAGAATCAGGGGGTCATAAAAGGAGCGTGGTCTCCCAAAAGCGTCATAAATCCCGTCCATTACAAAATCCGCCATGGGGTCATTAGGCCAATGAAACAAAAGCAAAAACAAAAACAGATCCAATTACAGCTGCAACATGGCGGTCATCAAGCCCATGATCGTCATGAGGCCCATGAAAGATCCACTATAAGGCGTTGTAGCAGAGTTGGAGAGAGGAACAGTGGAAGTGGCACCAGCGGCTGAGCTAGAAGCCGAGCCAGAGCCAGATCCGGCGCCAGTGGAAGATCCGGCGCCAGTGGAAGATCCAGCGCCGGACGAAGATCCGGGAACAGAAGACTCGGTCGTGGATGCACCAGCGCCGGAGGAACCGGTGCTCGAGCTGGACTCGGCAGTGGTGGAGCCAGAGCCAGATTCCGAGGAAGAGCCGGTAGTAGTGCCAGTGGCAGTACCAGTGGTAGATTCAGTGGTGTCAGTGGTGCTGCCAGCAGTACTGCTGGTAGTGCTGGTAATGAAACCAGTAGGAGAACTTGTGCTACTGGTGCTAGACTGGGTCGCGGGCTCAGAGGAGGGTGCGGATTCAGTGCTAGACGGGGTGGACGGGGTGTCCGTGGTGCTAGAGGTGCTGCGAGGCTCTGGGGACGAGGCAGAGTTCTTGATGCTCTGCCAGGAACCACTGTTGTCGGAGTAGGTGTAGGAGTCGGAGGGGGTATAGTTCACAATGTTAACCGACTTAACATACATGGTGAAGGGGGCTTTGGTATAGTCAGTCAGCCCACCGGCCCACTGGATAGTACCCTGCGCATTACCCGGGTCGCCACCGGCCCAGATGCCCAGTCTCAGGCGCATAGGGGTTTGGGGGTAGCGAGTACCACCCTTGGCGTCGTTGTAATTAAGAGTACGTACGATGTTGCCATCAACGGCCCAGGTGGTCTGGTCCTTGTTCCAGTCGATAGTGTACGTATGGTAATCAGCCTGTGGAGAAGCCATGTTCACGAAAGTTGCACGGTCATAGGACGAAGTGTCGCCCTTGCCGAAGTAATTGGTCTGAATCTGAGTGGTGTCACCACCGAGGGCTTCCTGTTAAGGGCATCGAGGTCAGTTGAGATTTTTTTTTTTTTTTTTTTTTTTTTTTTTTTTTTGTTCCATGTTTTGCTGGGGAAGCAACTTACCCAGTCGATCTCATCGAGGGCGGACGACTCTAGGACAATGCTGCTGACAATACCCTGTCCCGGCGCAGCCTTCATGACAACCTCGACCTTACCAAATAGGAAGTAGCCGTTAGTGTCAATGGTGGGCGCATCGCCTCGCTTGGCCAGAGTAAACTCGGCACCCTGGCCACCAGCCGTGACTTTTCCGGCGGTAGTTTTCCAGCCGCCGAGAGCTCCATCGCCGGTGGTGAAGTCGGAGTTGAAATTGGCGCCCATACCTGGGTTGGGCTCGCAACCAGATTCTAGTTTTGCATGTCAGTCCAGAGAACTATGGGAATATCTGCTACAAAAAGCAAACGGGGCGGAAAACATACGCTTAAGAGGGTTGCATTTCGAGTAGGTCTGGGCCGAGCATAGTGGGAGCAATGCAGCCAGTGCAGCTGCAGCGTAGTTAAAATGCATGATGTCTGAATAGGTCAATGCGACCAGCGAACGCAGCTCTGCAAGAATCGAATGCGAGGCGCAATCGGGTTTCTCAAAAGAGAGGAGTTGGGAGACGGGCAAGCGTCTAAATAAGTCGAGGCAGCGACAGTGGTTCTGACGAAAGAGACGGCCCACAGGCGTGACGATCTACGCTAAAGAATGACCCGTCTTGCAGATAGTAAAGACGGCAGGATGACGACCTCGTTGCTATGGAACGAGGAGGGGAGGGCTATAGTTATAGCTGGGAAGCTACCGCCAAGTAAGGGTTCACTAACTTTCCAAAATATCCCCTCAGGGGACAAAGAGTGGAATAGCGCCATCCGTCCCGAGCAATAGTTCGGCCGGGGGGAGCCACAGGAAGAAGCATCATTGGAGGCGAAAGTGTCTCCTCTGGGTCGAGCGTGGGAAGTTTCTTTGGCGCTTCATCCGAAGGGCCGCGACCTAAGCTAGTAGCCAGACAGTCACAAGTCACGGTTATGGAACCGAGTGTGGTCCGACTGTGATTGAACGAAAGCGACCGGATGAGAGAGCCACTTCGATCCAGCGGGGGCCGTGCAATGGGGAAAGGGTTCTCGATGATAGGCGTACGCCGTATAGCCGTATGCACCAGCAGACGTGGACCACTCTGGTTCTCCACTGACCTGCCTCTCATTGCGCATGGTCAACTGGGGTCAGCACCACAACAAACTGCAAGCGGAGCGCTTGAAGAGGGAAAGGGAAAAAGCTTGTGCCTTTCGGTGTCTGACTTTCCCTGCGCTCCATTGTTACATGCGTTTGGCTGCAGGTCAGCGTTGATACCTTCTCTGTTGGATAGGACTAAGTCTCAGTCTAAGTAAGTGTGCTCAGAGCTGCACGTATGTCAAAATAAGTCCCGTGTCTCACTGCCACTTTTAGCCGGCGCAGTGTTACATTCGCCAACCACCTCCATACAGTACGTCCCTTTTTTGTTTTTACCTTTGACAGCTTGTCTCACTGTCAATATTAAAAATAAAGTATAAAATCAAAGCAAAGCAAATAAAAAAAGAAAGAGAATAAACGGAAAAATCAACCTATTCACCGCATACAGATCATCCTCGGGAACTGTGACGTTTTCGGAGAATCCCTTCAGAACTGAGCCAAGGAAAAGGTGTCAGTGGCGCCAAGGCAAGACCTGTTGCCACTGTATCCATCAGGCAGCAAGTCAAGGGAAATGCTCAATGGCTGACGACGCAAGCTGATCAGCATTAAAGGGTCACTGAAAGTGTCGCAGCCGAGAACGCGCCATTGTTGGGTCAATGAGAGAGATCGAACAGACGAGACCGATCGAGCCATGGCTACGGGTACCTGCTTTGCTCTGTATCAGGGAATCAAGTTTTTGTCCTGATGCTCCAGAATCCAGAATCCCGAATCCCAGATAGTACCTTCCATATCCGACCATCGAGCGGGCGCGACATTTCCTACGATCCAGCAAAACGGGGTTCTCCTGTTCCTTGGGCCCAAGCATTTCACCGGCCGAAGAAAGAAATTAATAACAAAATCGAGAAAGACATGTCTCACCGCACAATCGTATCATACCAATCTTCTAACTTTTGATGGCTTCAAGCCATCTCAAGCCCACACTCCACAGCCTTGAACGCAACTACTGTAACTGTTCCAATGGGGCGACCCACCGATAACGCGCACACACCGCAAATGCAATCGAAAAGATCAAGGCAAGACATGCAGAAAGGAAAAAGAGGGAGAAAGAGTCAAAAACTGAAAATCTAAAAATAAAAATCCAAACAAACAAAACTGAGAGGTCATGGGATAGTTTGACAAGTGAGGGTTACTCCGAAGTGACTTTCCCCCATAGTTAACACTAACTACTGTGTACAAGTCGGTTTTGTGTACAGTTACATGAAATGATATGAGATTATTAGTCTTGTGATGTCGTATTGACCCCCCTGTCATTCCTGGGGAAACAATATAGATTAATATAAGCGCCATGCAATGCAACAAGGCAGGGAGATTAAAAACAGCATGACTTGCGACTGCATACAATCAACTATCTTCTTGGCTGACTGCAAGCGAAGAGTCATGGAAAAGCCGAGGCGCCAACGGTGGGAATCTCCTTTGGGATCATGTGGTCGTCCCGCTCCACGTGACCCTTTCAAGCCTTGTTGCCTGATTTGGGCCAATAATCAGTCTCGGCTGACTAAGGAGGGTCCCCCGCAACCCGTGACGAAATCAAGATCGATGATTTGATTGATTGTTGAGGATCTCCGGCGTGTTGGGCGATCATCAACCGCCACGTTGAGTACCACACTTCCAGTATTCATCAGTTGATTTCCCCTCCCTTTCCCGCATCTTGAACCTCCTTTCTTTCCTTCCTCTCTTCATCTCTCCATACCACCACAATTCCCCTAGACTATGGTTCACAAATCTGCTAAATCGATCTCACGCTCCAGTACTTCTCGTTACGTTGTTACTGGTGCTTCGTCAGCCTCGTCGGACCCAGATATGGACCGGACTGTCTACATTCCGCTCTGCTTCTGCCTGATCTCCTTCGCTGTCATGGTCTACGTGAATTGATTCGGGAATGCGCAAGCGAACAAAGAAAACTATCAGGTCCATGAAACTCATCATCCCGCTTCCCCGAGCAACTACGAAGTATAGACCAGCATGGTATCCGGGGCCGAGCCCTCAAGCCTGTGTCCACCGCTCACCGCCCCACCTCAAGCGGTTCGACACAGCCATCACCGAGACAACGCTCTCCCGAGTACAAATGCTCAATGCCCAACTGCGTCACTCCGCTACACAACGTATCATGGACTCTTATCGATCTGGGGACGTACAAAGTACAATCTCCTGTTCCACCCGTATGAGCAGCCAAGTGTCAGGATAATAACAATCGAGTCTTAACTACGATACATCGCGCTTGCTGCCTCGGCAACACGAGTGAAAGAAACCTGCGAAATTGTTAACTTTCAACAAATTTACCTTCGTGTTCAACGTACTTGATCCGACATGTCTGGAACATTATCGGATACTGCGCCCATATCCCCCTTGTTTTGATTGTGCCAAAGGCAACCTTAAGGCAAACCTTCCTGGTCGCAATACTTGTTGGGGATGTGCAGAGCACACTGGAATATGCATGTTTACATATATATGCATACAGTGGATACAAGCCACTTTCTCAAGACTATCTCTCTTTTATTTCCTTTTCTTTTCCCCATTATACCCAGGATTATACCACCACAGAACGATCATTCCATTTTCCTTTATATCTTCATTATATATTTACAATTGGCAAATCGAATTTTACATATATTAGTCACATGTCTCATACCCAGGTATAAGAGTAGCGTATTATAATATCCATACAGTAGAGCAAGTAAATAAGGTTATTGTGAGACAAAAACATACAAAGCAAACTGCGCCCCGATCCCAGCCTCCAAACTGTTCATCAGAATGGGCTTTATGTTGTCACAGGTTCTTGCACACTGAGATTCACCTGGAAAAAGAAACAGAAAGAGAGAAAGAAAAGAAAGAGAGGAAGAAAGAAAACAAAAAGAGAAAGGAAAAACTATAAACCTCGCGCCGCCAACCAAATCCACAAAAATGGTCCGCATAAACTTTGATAGTGAACCATGTATACACACTGCCATCCCGGGAAACCTTCCCCTGCCCACACCCATCGTGTCCTGTGGGGTCTTTGAGGGATTTATTCATGCATTTCGTAGTTGACTATACTTAGATATAGGTTCGGACAATGAAAACGAAATGTTTTCTGCTACGGGCGGGGGGGTTGTTTCATGGGAAACTATATGACAGATGTGGGTTAGATAGATAGATCTAAAGCGTATTTTGGATTATATTCAACCCCCGATTGTTGGAGCTGACTATCTGACTATCTGACTTGGGTTTTTAGGTATATCGCAGAGCCCACCTCTCGGTAGTATTGTTTTATTGTTTCTAAAAACCTTAGGTATAGTATTGGACGGGGGACACCCTGTTATTGGAGGACTGTCTTAGTACTGGGCAATCATGGAGTTTCATCCTGTCTGTGCTGATCTTGGGGGTTTGGTCTTCTTTCTTTAGAAGTATGACGTTATCTAGAGGACCATTCAAGGTAGGTACGGCGAGATGTTCATGTCGACAATATGTATATCATTCCCATAGTGAATCACCCGGGATCCAGTATTCCCTTCTTTTACTCATAGGTATGGGAACAAAAGACAACCAAAGGTACAGTTGAATATTGACTATTGACATTCTTGGAAAGGTAAGTATTAAAAGTCAATAGATGATCGAAATACAACATGCACAACACTGACAGTGACTTTCCACCTTGAAAGTAGGGAACACCTCGCTGACTGAAATCTCACACAAGTATGTCTCAGCAACCAGCATCTGTTGTACGAAAGGCCCTGTGCCTATTATCCGGATAGTGATAAGAGCACCTACACAGGCGAAGTACCTAAACAGGGAGCAGTTGTCAGTAACCAATCGTTAACGCATGTCTTACGAGCACGTTCTTGAATCTAGTAGTCCGTCAGAACAACAGAAAGCAACCCAGTGGTCACCGGTTAGCCATAAGGTCTTCCGACCCTGCTTCGTACTCGGTTCTCCTTCATTGCAATTGATAACAGTTGTGTTGGATGTGTATGGTCTTCAGCCAAAGGATCTCGTTACAGATAACCAAGTTTAGTCCGTACTTGGTGATCATTGCGGGTGAAATGCTACAAATATATCTCGTGCTTGTCAGTCTGCTTTTTGAATGCTACTTAATGAGACGTATCGTTGTAACATCCAAAATAATGTTATAGTTTTCGGTCCGAAGATCTTAGTTAATAGGCTCAACAACAAAACTATAGGTACTTCACCTAGGAAGCGCTTTCTTTTGAATCTAGGTCATAATGCATCCTATACAGCTCTACCTGTTTATCTAGTCTATACAATACACTTTACCGCAAAGTGACCAGTTCCTCGGCACTGGTAGGGTGGATCGCAACGCAGCTGTCGAAGTCGCGCTTAGTAGCGCCCATCTTGACGGCCACACCGAATCCCTGCAGCATCTCTCCAACGCCGAGTCCAAGAATGTGCAGACCGACCACCTTCTCTTCCGGCCCAGCGCAGATAAGCTTGAACTCAGTCGGGTTCTTCTTCTTCTCCTCCGGCGGCACAACGTCGTAGTACATCGCGGTGAACTTGGTGTAGTAAACCTTGATCTGGTCGTCACCGTAGCGTTGACGAGCCTCAGGCTCAGTGAGACCGACGGTACCGACCTCGGGGTGGGAAAACACAACGGTTGGAATGTTGTCATAAGAAAGCTTGGAGTCCTTCAGCTCGGGTGGCCCGAACACACGGTTGCCAAGTTGGCGACCAGCGGCAATGGCAACTGTTTTCATCAGCGATTAGTCCTACGTAGTCAAGTTAAAGGGCGGATTGCAAACATACCGGGAGTCAGCTCGGCGTGTCCAGTTACATCACCCAAAGCATAGATACCCTCAACGCTCGAGTTCTGGTACTCATCGACGTCAACAAATCCAGCGTCGTTCAACTTGACGCCTGGGATGTCGAGGTGCAGGTCCTCAACCTCGGGCGCACGGCCGATAGCCCACAGCAGCTCATTGACCTCCATCTCCGAGCCATCGTTTGAGATCAGCTTGAGAAGCTTGTCCTTGCCCTTTCCGTCCCGCACGAGCTGCACTTCCTTAAGGCCCGGGTGGCCCTTGTGGATGGTGATGCCCGCAGCCTCGTAGCGCTCAGTCATGGTCTTCTGGATCATGGGGTCGAACTTGCGAAGGAAGGTCTGGCCACGGATGAACATGTGGGTATCAACGCCAACGGCTCCCAAAACACCTGCCAGCTCGACAGCAATGTATCCGGCACCGACAACAGCGATCTTAGGGGGCAGTTCCTCGATCTCGAAAAATCCATCGCTGGTAATTCCGTGCTCAGCTCCCTTGACATTGGGGAGCTTGGGACGTCCACCGGTGGCGATCAGGATGTGAGGCGCAGTATAGCGGGTCTTGGTGCCGTCATTGTTGGCAACCTCAATGACCTTAGGCTCAACAAAGCGGGCTCTTCCGTGTACGAGATCGATACCCTCACGTCCCCAGTTCCGTTCATAAGCGCCATTCAACCGCTTGACTGTGGCGTCCCGAAGTTCCTTGAAGTGACGGTAGTTGATCTTGACATCCTTGGGAATGGTGTATCCGTAGTGCTCAGCAATATGAAGTGTCTCGTTGACAGTTGCAAAGTTCCAGGTCATCTTCTTCGGGACACACCTGCACACCGCGGTCAGACATTCTCATTTAAGCCACCGACAAAGCGATATGGGCAATAAACCTACCCAACATTGACACAAGTTCCACCCGAGCGTCCACTTTCCACAATCAATGTCTTTGCGCCATACCAACCGGCCGCTCTGCGTCCACTGCCGCTACCACCACTACCACCTCCGAGAACGATATAGTCATACTGCTGGGGCTCCACGGGAGGCATCTTGTTCGAATCGCGCGTCGTGGACGTCGATGTGAACTGTCGGTTGAGTAGAGCGAGACGGGTGCCAACAGCAGTTGAAGGAATGAAGGTCGAGGAAGAATCCAGAGCGGCTCTTGTTGGAGTTCCGCTAATAGCACACCGGTTTGCAGCTGTAGAGATAGTTTTTCTTCTAATTACCTGGGATGCAACCGAAGGGGACGATACAGGTCGAAGAAGCCGGTTCTTGAAAGCCTGAACAGGAAAGGAACGGGAGGAAGAGCGGGGCAGCATGGAGGCTTTATGTTTGGAAGAGTAAGCGGAGGAGGGGTGGAGGAACTGCAGTAGTAATTATGTCTGGCGGGGAATCCGGGCGCGAAAAGCTTCCTTCGGTCAGTGACGGATTCGATTGTGCATGACGTCGAATCACAGCGGTACCTACCAATTAGTAAGATGTGACTATAGCAAACTGCACCCAATTCCGCCCTGAAAAGCTTCTTGTTCAGTCGAGAGAAGGCCAAAGATCAAAAATTTCTCTCCAATCGCCGAATAAACCACCTCCAAAGGCCGAGATCGGGATTTCATCATCTTTACTGGAGGCTGGACGAAGCTACACGTGATTCCGCGGATTGCTAAGCAGCCTGACTCTAACGTAACCGGCAAGCACCCTGCGCATGTAAGCACCCTGCGCACCACCCGCAATATGAAAAATTAAAACGATTAAAACACTATGAATTTAGACTTCTATATAAAGATGAGTAGTTCTATCGATTTGGGCAGTTCGTAATTTTATGGCCCTGTATATTATAGCCAGAATATCTAGGGGGTGCGCGTCTAGCCCCCGATTTAGTAGGTTGAGTTCCCTCTATTTGAATAGCTTTATCTGCCTGAGCCCTGCGCTTTATATAGATTCGGGTGTTAGATACTGACGTACCCCCTTTAAAAGTAATCTGCTTAGTAGAGCGCTTTCGCTTTTTAAGCTGCTTTTTATATAAAGTCTCATATCGCTTAAGCTGATGCTTAAATAGTGTTATATTATTTATAGCTCGTTCAGCGCCTTTAATTATTTGATTTAGGCAGGCTTTAGTAGGTGAATCGGGACTGCGAGACCGATTTTTAAGCAGCCTTTTAAGTGTAGATTCTGACTTTTTCAACTGCTTAACTGTATGAGGCGTTTTAGGCGCTGAACTGCCTCGGCTGCTTGGTCTACTACCTGGAGGTGTAGGCGTATTGAGCTGAACTGCCAGCTGAGATAGAATGGATTCAGGATTTAGAGGAACTAGGCCGGTAGCTTTAAAAGTACTATAAATATTGCTTTTAGTAAACGCCTGCGTACGAGCTTCCGGATAGGCGTCTAAAAAGTTAAGTTTATCGATATGATGAAGCCCGCAGTGTATCTTAGATTTAACGAGGCCACCGTACGCGCGTTTTAAAGGTGAGAAAATAGTAATATCAAGCGGTTGAAGTCTATGAGAAGTATGCGCAGGTATACAGATCGGTATAATATCGTTTTCCGAGTATATCTGATCAAATTGAGGCGTCAAATGACTATCGTGGCTGTCTAAAATAAGTAATCGATATTGTCCGATAGATCGGCCTGCAGTGGCCGGTATAAAATGACTTTGTAATTAACGTAGACCTATTTTATTACTCGTTCAGCTGTTAGGACTAACCTCGATCCTCCAATCAGATAGAACCTTTCGATCCTTATACCAGGCCTCTATATGCACTTTGCCTTTGAATATAATGTAGGGAGGTAGAGCCTATCCATTAGAACTAATATATTCTATAGAAGTGACCCATTCCCGGTTACCTGGTTGTAATAAAAACGGCTTGCCTGGTGTACTAGACCTAGTAATCACTTTGGCAGTAGTAATTAGGTCCATTGCAAACCTGGTTTCATCGAAATTATAGATATCGGATGAGGCTATACCGTACTTTTGAATAGTCTTATTTACCTGCTGAAACTAGGTATTTAAAATCTTCGGATCTTCTATTTTAGCACGTTGATAGTTATATCGACGTACAAAGCAGATCTTAAGCTCAGGCGTACGCTTGATAAAGTTAAATACCTATTTTTTTTCTACAGTTGTAGGGGAAGAAGTAGTATCTCGTTTTGAAAGTAAGATATTGGCCATTTCTCGTACGTATGCTGGCCGGGGCGGTGCACTACGTTTATCTAGCGATAGAATCCATTTTTTAAGCGATTCCTTTTCACTAATAGTTAATTTATGAGTATTGACGCGTCTATCGTATATAAATGAGGCCCCTTTTAGGCGACTGCGCAGGGTAGATTTAGGAAGGTTAAATATCTTAGCTGTTTGTCTAAGGCTGCTAAATTCATTGTTTTTTAAAGCTGATATAGCCAGTACGATTCGGCCTTCTTGCTCAACGCGCGATTTTGATGATTTAGGCATTTTTGACAGTATGGTTGGTGTTTGAATTGTCTAAGAAATTGAGGCGCGTGAGAAACGCGGGTGGTGCGCAGGGTGCTTACATGCGCAGGGTGCTTGCCGGTTACGTTATGCCCTGGATGGTTAGTCAGCAATCCTAGTGAATTGACCAATGAGTTGGTTCTTCCACCCCCATAACCCTAGGTGCTCAGTAGTCAAATCCATCTAACTGTATCCCTATCCAAGGATAATTGAAGTGACATTGCATGATAAGAGCATTTTTTCTTGGTTTTATGTACAACCAGTCTTATAGGCTATACACTCCTATAATGATTCAACCACGCAAGGTATCCGCCACTTACAGCTTGACATCTTCACCCTTTACAGCAGCTCTACTACCCGAGCAAGGAACTTCAACCTTGTAATACGTACTTAATAAAGGTCACGTCATCTTCTTCCAAGGTCAAGTCAAACACCTGCTCCTCACCATCTGCCAGCAACAGATCTGTAACGACCCCCAACCCATTCAATTCTTCATGAGCCCGTTCACTAAAACGATGGTGGGTCACTGTACCTGCTGTACCATGAATAAACATGGTTCGTGGAAACGAGGTCGAAAGCCGAGCCGTATCGTCAATACAACTCTTATCTTCATTCTTGACTATCTCATCTAACAAGGTTCCCTGTTTCATATAAGTAGCGAGCCATGCATCTCTCGGAGGAAGAGTATCGCTCCCCAAGAAACGCGCCGATGCGGAAACTTGGTACCCCTCGTAGATCTTGTCGATGTACTTTTGTGGCCAGGAGGATGATTTTTCAAATTCGAGAATAGGTAGTCGCCACATTGGATTGGAAAAGTATTTGAGGCCATAGAAGTCAAGAATCGCTGTGACTGGGACTTCCGGGGTATATCCTTATTCTTTGGTTAGACAGTATTGCCCTGCTTCTGTAAGTCTCATAGATCAGATGCACCATCAGTAAAGCCAATGTACCACCTGCAGAATGTCCCATGGTAACAATTTGAGTTGGATCTACTTCCATTGGCTCATTTTGCAACAATCCAGGGAATTCGTTGGCTGCCCACACCAAACAGTCCCGAGAATCCGTGATCGGTCCATTGTAGACAGATATTTGTGGACATAGTCTGTAGTTTGGCGTTAATACCACGAACCCGAATTTTGTCAGAGTAGAGATCTCGGATTTTGGAACGACCTCTTTGGACCATTTAACAAAACCACCGGCATGGAAGATAATTGCTGTATGGCCAAGTCAATAAAGAGTACCCTAATTCCCACAGTGGGGTTTACCAACCAATGGGACTGCTACGTTTGAAGGATAATTCTGACCAGTACACGTCAACAAGAATATTCTCGTCTTCATTTCCTTTCTTATAGATATATTCGCGAGCTTTCATGATGTCAGTCGATATGATAGAATGATAAATGATAAAGTTGATGCCTGAAACAGATAAAAGAAAGTATAGCCATATTATATTGCTTTTAGGATACTTGAAAGGAGTATTTCAAATGATTTTATCTGGTGATATCTTCTTTAGTCCCATAGAGGTAAAGGAGGGATCGTATTTCGGCCATGTCACTTGTAGTCTCGTATAACATTCTCAGACCTACTACCCTCGAGTGCAGATTCCTATTGGCATATTGCCAAGTTTATTAGTTGAGACGCATTCGTATAACATCTCCCTTGCGGGATTTGGTAATGAATTCGGAGTAGGTGTTCTGGACACTTCCAAGGATAGCTGAAACATAGTGTGGACCATTAAAACAGCTCCCTAAAAGGATCCAGATTAGTATATATACCAGCCTGAACTGTTTTCCAAAATACTATATAAAACCAAAGCCTTCTTTGGAGTGTTACTCTGTAATTATCTAGTAGATGTATGTCTGGACGTAATGGGCTGATCCTTCAGTTCAAGAAGTCCACTTCAATGAGGTACAAGTGCTTATCAATAGAATCCTAAGGTATATACATCTGGAGAATTATACAGAAACAACAAGAATGGCAAGGAACAGACTCATATGTGACATGAAGCATGGAGAATCAATAGATCAAAAGGATCACGTTCTGTTTTCACTTTCCGCGACGGAGTTTCCTTATCCCGATAAGTCCGATAAGGATCCAGATAACGTCATTCCATCCCATGAGATAAAGGGGACTCCACCTCAACAACTAATCGTCAAATCTCCAATCAATATCAATGAACCCGAACCAATTTTAAAAGCTCTCGAAAAAGTAGAGGGAGCTCTATTAGCATATGCACCATGGTCCTCGGTGGACCAAGCGGGTCGAAGGTCACTCCGTACCTGATCTACCTTGTTTTTATCACCACGTTGGGGCCACTTCAGTTCGGATATCATTTGGTATTACACACAGTTTGATGCATACTGGAGGCTCCAATACATTGGCTGACAATATATTATGATAGGCTGAGCTCAATGCCCCCCAGGCCGTGATCACCTGCGAGCGAAAAAGCATTCATTCGACAGCAACACCGGGCCTTCCGCAATGCATACCTATGAACCCATCCCAATTCGGCCTGGTATCCTCTATATATACACTTGGTGGCTTGCTAGGAGCTCTCCTGGCGGGTCCAGTCGCCACCAAACATGGCCGCTTGTTCACACTGCGAGCGACCACCATCTTCTTCATCCTAGGCCCTATAGCGGAAACATTTGCATCCAATATACCCATGTTGAGTCTAGGTAGGCTTTTATCTGGTATTGGCGCAGGCGCTTCCATCGTCGTGGGTCCAATATATATCTCGGAGATTGCTCCTCCCAGTGCTAAGGGGCTTTTCGGCGCTTTTACACAAATCATGACTAACGTCGGTATTCTGCTGACACAGTCCCTTGGTTACTTCCTGAGTAAAGGAAGTATGTGGAGAATTATACTTGCAATTGCTGGCGCCATCGGATGTCTGGAGCTTTTCGGTCTCTTCTTAGTCCCGGAAAGCCCCATCTGGCTTGCAGATCATCAGAAAGGGAATGTGGCCAGACAGGTGCTACAGCGTATACGGGGAAAGGATGCAGACATCGAGCCAGAGGTTGAAGGCTGGAGAACATCTGCAACGCCTGAGCACAGCTCTGGGGAAGAGCAGTCCCTACTATCACCCCCATCTGGAAACATGCCACCCAAACAACCTCCGGTTACCATGATGCGGGCTATTACTGATTCTTTTTACCGCCCTGCCATCATTGCAGTGGTTGGAGTCATGGTTTCCCAGCAGTTCACTGGTATCAACAGTATCATTATGTACAGTGTCTCCCTTTTGCAGACCATCCTTCCCACCACAGCGGCCCTGTTGAGTGTGATCATCTCGGCTATCAATCTTGTAATCACCCTGGCCTGCTCACCACTGCCTGATAAGATCGGTAGACGCTCCTGCCTACTCCTAAGTATCAGCGGTATGGGCCTTAATTCCGTCCTGTTGGCGCTAGGCATCTACTTCAACCAGAAAGCTTTATCCGCCATAGCTGTTCTACTCTTTGTTGCTTGTTTCGCCGTCGGTCTAGGTCCAGTCCCTTTCATTTTAGCCTCTGAGCTCGTTGGCCCTGAGGCGGTTGGCGCCGCACAGAGCTGGGCGCTGGGAGCGAACTGGATTGCCACGTTCATCGTGGCACAGTTTTTCCCGATGCTGAACGATTTGTTGGGTGGACGAGGCAGGATCTACTGGATCTTTGCAGCGATGGCCTGTCTCCTTGGAAGCTTTATCTACTGGTGGGTACCGGAGACTAAGGGGAAGGCTAACGCGGCCGAAGTTTGGGGAAGGACAGACCAGCGGAGACAGGATTAATTCATCTCTGATTGTTTTTCTCCGGGTCCTACTCTGCCGCCAGCATTCAGACTCCCCGTCAGTAGTCAATTCTGTACCTCCACAGAGGGGCCTATCATGTGACAATATTGAAGACAATAGAATAGCAATAATTGGTGCTTTCTACCTAGGAGTCAGTCGGTGAGAGGGAAAGCGTCATACTTGCCTCGGCTTGTTCAACCTAGTCGGTCGGGCAGGTTTAGGCCGACACTGAGTGAAAGCAATACCAATGGTCGATCTTTATCTTCAAACTGTATTGCGGAGGTGAGACCAAAGAAGTTCTAATACCTCTGCATAATGTACAAGTCGCTGACAATGTCCTTTATCACTACCTATTGAAGGCTTTGATGTCTTGATCGTCACAAGCGGGTTGATCATCTCTGATCGACGTCACTTCACACCGCACACTACATGACAAGTGCGGGGCAGAGGGAACAGCTGGCCCAAAAAATTAGTGATTTGAAGCAATGCTGTTACATCCTTTTACCCCTCAATCCATGATAAGGGAGGGAAAGAGGCTGAGAGAGGGTCACTGCCACGCTAGACTGGATTAGTCCGTATATGCAGGTTTCAATGCACGCACAGGGGGGCTTCGGGCTTCTTGGCTATGCACTACGAATTACTAGTAGGGTGTATTAATCCACGTAGATAAATTGGCGTGCCCGGTGTAGATATGAGGAAAGTAATGAGAGTTGCACTCTCGGAAATAATAGTTGTTGTAGAAAGAATGACGGACAAGGAGTTTTAACGGTACTACTGGAGTAAGGGGCGACGTTTGAAATATTTTAAGTACAAGCTTTGCAACAGTGAGCCATTTATGTAGGGTAAATCCAAGAGGAGCCTAGGAAAAAGTAAAGCCACACCAAAGAGTACTCGGAATACGTGAGGGGGGAAGTGAATCTACCGCAGTATTTGTTGAGAATCTAACCCAAAGTATAATTGACCAACCCTACTGACGGGAAAATAGGTCCAGGAAGGCAAGGGGTGCCTCAGCTGTGGACCTTGGGATAGATTTGTTTTTTATTGTGATACTTACTGTTTCTCCATTGGACACTCCGTATCGTGGGCCATATTCTTTTTGAAGAAACCCCAGGCAGAATACAAATTCCCTCAGCTTTACCTGTCAGAGATGGATGTATGGAGTATACCTCATACATCGTGCCTGGCGCCAGGTTAGCAGTACCGGATGCAGTAAGGGTACGGTACCACCTTAGCCACATTAGGCAGCCACATTTATTTGTACTCCGTAGTACATCAACTCATTCAATTCAAGAGGGTGGAGACAACAAGAGGGAGTGGATCTTAGTTGAGAACCAGTAAGTGACGTTGGGGTTGGCCAGTGCCAAGTCTGCTAACCGAAGGTTCCGTAGGAATCCATTTGATTGATTACTGCTTGGATTTATTTAGAAGCTTTGTGGTTTGGTTGGAGACTTACAGACCCCCAGAATTATGTAGTGATGATGACTTGCTTTCGCGGTTATTTACTAGTAGTAGACATGTACATCATATAAATGTTGGACAAGATTCCTGGATCGTGAATAAAACAACCTTGCAGCAACTCAAAAAAGACAGAAAAAAGAAATTAATCTAGGTCGCAGACCCAGTAATTTAAATCCCTCCCCTCAAAAAACCCAAACGCGAAAACTCCTGGTCTATCGGCATTGTCACAGACCTCATAGTGAGCTGTGGACGACTGACTGCCATTTAGCTCGCCCACTTCTCTCGCCCATCTGCCCACTCCCTCGCTCTTTTTTCCCCATCACACAGTCTCGAAACAAGCAATTGTTCTTTGTCTTTTGATTCCCCGGTTCTCAAACTGTGGTCCTCCCGTCTTGGTCTTATTGATTGTTTTCTTGGTTCGTCCCGAGTAGATCGATCGGCCCAGAACTTGACATTTCCCGCGACATCTCCGGACTTGGAGCGACTTCTGCCTACTACTTTGCCTACTAATCAACCATATACAACTCATACCCTTTTAAATATCCTCAATTATATTACTTGATTGATTGACTTCGTATATCCCGGCCTTGTTCCATTACAACCCGTCAGCTTCTGCTGTTGACGCGACGTGTCCCGTCTCCATCTCCGTCTGACTACACCCCCCACTCGACGGCCATCATGGTGCGGTTACCGTTGCCACAACGGCTCAGTACTCATTTAACTTCACGGAGTAATACTCCTACTCCCGGACAAAGCAGAAGTACCAGCCCCATGAGGGTACCAGACGCCAAGCCGCTGGTCCTGAAGGTGGTTGTCTTACGGGTGAGTGCGACCTCCCCCTGGATATCGGGCAGGTTATACCATCTCGGTACATTCCGGACCGCGAGGACTAACATGCTGAGCGCTCAATAAATAGGGGAGGTGCCTTGCTGCCAAAGATCGAAATGGAACGAGCGACCCAGTAAGTGGCTCCTTGACATCTCTACTGTCTAAAATACCCAGAATCGTAACTGACCACATGGCTCGATTACTAGTACCTAGTTGTCACACTCGGAGATGCACGACAATCGACACCAACGATTCCGAAGACCCTGAACCCTGAATGGAACGTGACTTTTGAAATGCCAATCGTCGGTGTGCCATTGCTCGAGTGTATCTGTTGGGATCACGATCGGTTCGGGAAGGATTATATGGGCGAGTTTGACATTCCTCTGGAAGAAATATTCGCCGAAGGCCAGATACATCAGCAGGTGAGTATTGGTTATATGACCGGAGACGAGGGACGTCCAGGCTGATGAAGCGCATAAGTCCAAATGGTATACCCTTACGTCGAAGCGAAAATCGGGAAAGAAGAAGGACAGCAACATTTCAGGAGAGATTCTACTTCAATTCTCACTCATCGATACTGCAAATCCAACAGCCCCTCCGAGCGAGACATATCAGAAGTTCAAGACACTGATCGGCTGTGGGGAGGAAGACGATGATTACCCGCAAATTCCTGCGACCATATCAGACGAAGCCGAAAGATCCGAAGACATATCCGATGAGGCCGATGACTTGGGAAGACCCGAAGTTAACGAGAAGCGCCGGAGAAGGCTACGTCTCGCGCGACTCAGGCGGAAGTCGCTGGCAGCGAGGGCGTATCAGTTCTCTGGTGCCGGCAATGGCGTACAGGGTATCGTGTTCATGGAGATTGTCAAGGTGACCGATCTCCCACCGGAACGCAATGGTATGATACCATCAATCTGTAGACAATGTGTCCTAGCTGACTTATCCTACAGTGACACGAACTTCCTTTGATATGGACCCGTTTGTTGTGACTTCGCTGGGAAGAAAGACGCTTCGGACTCCGGTCGTGCGCCACAATCTCAACCCAATATACCACGAAAAAATGGTCTTCCAAGTTATGAAGCATGAACAGTCTTATACCATCAGTTTTACAGTCATGGACCGAGACAAGTTCTCTGGGAACGACTTCGTTGCCTCGGCTAGTTTTCCCCTTCAAACATTGATTCACGCTGCTCCCGAATCGGACCCGGAGACTGGACTCTATAAGTTCCTGGACACCGCGCTTGATCCTACAGGGTCCACCGAGTCTCTCTCTAATAACAAAGCTGGAATCAAGATCGGGATTAGCCCATCCCCATCGACTAGCAGCCTATCAAAACTGTCAAGGCCAGGCCTGGTCAGGTCAAGAAGCTCTACAGCTTCCTTGTCGAACCAAGCCACGCAGGAGCAGTCGACACTACCACCACCATCAGCCCCGAAATCTATCCCGACATCAGTTCCTTCATCACTCCCAGAGGAGGGTAGTAGTAGCTACTTGTCAACAACGCCAACATCAGTCCAGAACGAGGGCAGCGTGATTACCCCTCTTGAAGCAGAGGGCCTGGAGACATATCGGATTCCGCTGCTGATGAAGCATAAAGAAAGATGGGAGGACAAGCACTCTCCGGAGCTATTCATCAAGGCTAAATACATGCCCTACCGGGCACTGCGGCAGCAATTTTGGAGACTAATGCTCAAACAATATGACGCTGATGACAGCGGCCGCATTGACAAAGTCGAGCTAACTACAATGCTCGATACCCTTGGTTCCACCCTGAAGGAATCAACCATTGACAGCTTCTTCGAGCGATTTAGTGCGGAGAACGAGGCTAGTGAGACAATGGATTTGACTTTTGATCAAGCTGTAATCTGCTTAGAAGATACCCTGCAGGCACTGCAGAAAGATTCCAGGACAACTGGCAGGGGACTCACTCCAACGCCATCCACAGGCAGTCAAGACAGCGAGGAGCCATCCAGCGACGACAATGATCTTGCCCTCGAATCAAGCACAGGCATGCCGGTCAATGCTGACCCTCAGAGAACAGCCATACCCACACTACCCACTGAAGAACAGTTAATGACGAACGAGGAAGACCTTCAGCCCGATGACTTGGGCGATGAACGTGGTGAAGAGCATGTCATTGAACTCCGTGAATGTCCCCTTTGCCATCAACCACGGCTCGCAAAACGCTCAGATGCCGATATTATCACACACATCGCTACCTGTGCTAGTCGAGACTGGAGACAAGTCGACAACCTCGTGATGGGTGGCTTCGTGACCTCAAGTCAAGCGCAGCGCAAATGGTACTCTAAGGTGATTACAAAGATCTCGTATGGAGGCTACAAGCTGGGTGCCAATTCCGCGAATATTCTTGTTCAAGATCGAATTACGGGACAAATCAATGAGGAGCGGATGAGCGTCTATGTTCGTCTTGGTATCCGGTTGCTGTATAAGGGGTTGAAGAGTCGAGAGATGGAAAAAAAGAGAAGTATGCTCACTCCAATTAACTATCCGGAAGTCCGGATGAAGCTGACCATTCCTGCAGTTCGCAAAATCCTCAAGTCGCTTAGTATCAAACAAGGCAAGAAATACGACGACCCCGCTTCCGCAAGTCAAATTGAAGACTTCATCAGCTTCCACCAACTCGACTTGTCCGAGGTTCTTCTTCCTCTAGAGAAGTTTAAGACTTTCAATGAATTCTTCTATCGCGAACTGAAGCCAGGCGCTCGACCTTGCTCGGCTCCGGACGAGCCCCGAATTGTTGTGTCCCCAGCTGATTGCCGATCAGTTGTTTTCGACCGTCTTGACGAAGCAACTAGTGTTTGGGTCAAAGGAAGGGAGTTCAGCATTGAGAGACTCCTCGGTGATGCTTACCCAGAGGACGCCCACCGCTACAAGAACGGAAGTTTAGGAGTGTTCCGTCTTGCACCCCAAGATTATCACCGTTTCCATATTCCCGTGGATGGCGTCATGGGAACGCCCAAAACCATCGAAGGTGAATATTACACGGTGAACCCGATGGCCATCCGCTCCGCACTAGATGTCTATGGAGAGAATGTTAGAGTCCTTGTCCCCATCGATTCGGTTGCGCATGGTCGTGTCATGGTGGTCTGTGTTGGAGCCATGATGGTCGGAAGTACAGTAATCACACGTCAGGCTGGAGAGAATGTCGCGCGAGGCGAAGAGCTGGGATACTTCAAGTTCGGTGGAAGTACCCTCCTGCTTCTCTTCGAAGAAGGAGTGGTAAATTTTGACAGCGACCTGGTGGATAATTCGAAGGGCCCTCTCGAGACCCTGGTAAGAGTTCCTTCATTTACCCCTTGCTGGTGGTGGGCTGTTTTTACTAACATAAGCCGACTCTGTCTTAGATTCGTGTGGGCATGTCTGTGGGCCACCGTCCTGATATTCCTCAATTCGAACCTGACCTACCGAAGAAGGCAGAAAACGTCACTGTAGAAGAGATGCAGGCTGCCAAGCGTCGAATCGAAGGAAGCTTGGCTCCACCAACCGATGCGTCTGAGTTTGCATGAGACTTGTTCATTAAGTGAGAAGCGTTCATTCTAAGGCGTTCCGGTGTGATTTCAGGGGTCTGGTGCCATTCGTTCTGAGCAACTATCTAGCACAGTTGTCTGCATTGCCACTACTAACTAGTATTGATGGATTATGAGGGTCAACTATCGATGGGTGTGTACATGTTAGATATTTTGAACATATAAATTCCCATGCCATATTAGTAAATTATTTCGGGTCTATGTACCATCTATTTGATATTTCTCAGAAGATTATTTCAACATCAGACACTGTTAGATATATTACGTAGTACTAGCCAAAGTAATAGACTGGACGATGTCAATCCAAAAACGGCTTAGTGTGAGTCCCCCACGCGCCACGACCAAAACAACCGCGTGCTGCGGCGGCGGACTTGAAAGAGCCAAACCCCCCAGAGCTTAAGCACCGCCGCACAAGGAGCGCTTTGCGAAACTCGCCAATCCAAGAAGTCGGCAATTCTCATTTTAAATGTCTCGAGCGGTCGCTGTCAATTGCGGCTTGAAGTTAACGGTGTACTGGAAGGGCGCCTCCGATGTCAATCGACACACGTCCCTCAACAGCCCCCGTTCCTATTGAAAGATACTGCCGGGTCAGGTTCCTGCGACCGCGCAACCATTCTATCCCAGATCACCTATAAGAAATATAGGAGGAGACAACAGAGCTTTATCGATTGCTTAGATTCAATTCTCTATTGAGTGGTAAAAGGGCTCAAAGCGAAGCGATATCCAATACCGGCAACCAAATTATCTACGGGAGGATAAACCTACACCAAATTCCAACACTACAGTTATTTCTCTTCCTTCGAAACAAACAAGGTCGCGCTATATTCATCCAACTCTCAGTATCTTTATTCTGTATCTACGTCGCTACTCGCTTCCCCGCCTTTCCTAGGTCCTGACATGACCGCCACGGTTTTGGAAACTCCTAGGATTAAGACGAAGTGTCGCGTACCTCTGAAGTCTATTGATATGGCAACGTCCCAGGCGCAGGCGCGTCCTGCGTCTTCTGCCGCGCCTGGCAGAAAGGGGACAAGGTCGAGTGCGCGATTGAGTTTGAGCAGTGTGGAGAAGAGCGAGGAGAAAACAGCATCTACCAAGAGAAAACGTGAGTGCTCTTATTCGCCTTGAAGAGTTATGCTACGGATGATTTATGGGGATATGCGCTTGTGTGTGTGATGAACTGCTCGTGTGCTAATGTTATTTTGTCGCTATAGAAGAGGTTTTCGATGAAGAAGATGAGGGGTTCCAGTTTACTCGCATTAAGACTAAAAAGTCAAAACCGACGGTGGAGTCTATCCCGGAGATCCCTCAACCAGAGATACCCGCTCCTAAACCGTCACCGAGGAGGGGCCGACCACCCAAGAAACGTCCAGTTGAGAAGTCAGAGAGTACGATAGCGTCGAAGAAGTCATCGGAGAGTTCGACCAGGCAAACGAGGGCGACTGCGAAACCTACTTTATCTGAGCCAGAAGCACAACCGGCGAGCGCCACGCGCACAACGCGCACAACGCGCAGGCAGGACAATGGTGAAACGGCACCGGTGGAAAAGAAGAGGAAGAAAGGCAGGCCGAGTAAATCTCATGGTGGCGAACAGAACGGCTTTGTTTCACCCGAACCGCAACAAGCTGGGACATCGAAGATCACCTTACCTATGGCGGACACACCGGTCATACAGCGGAACAAGGAATTGAGGGGTGCGGCGAAGTCAGGGAAAGGAAACAGACGGAGTAGCTTGGGGATGCGGGGACGAAGGGCCAGCTCGCTAATTGACTCCGGGGCGTCTAATGGTGGGTAACCTGTTCCGCAAGAGCTCAAGACGGTACTGACGGCTTTAACAGCGTTGCCTCATGACCAAGTTGACACTGCAGAATTCTACAAACACATTGCAGCTGACTTGCCGGAACCACGGAGGATGAGACAGCTCTTGATTTGGTGCGCGACTCGAGCAATGAGTGATAAACGAGGGCGCTCGGAGGATGCGAGCGCTCGCCTAGCGGGTGCGTCATGCCGAACTGGAAGTTTGGTCTCAGACTAACGATACTTTAGCGCGTGTAATCCAGGAGGAGCTACTCAAAGATTTCTCTACTAATTCCCAGCTTTCGAACTGGTTCGAGCGAGAGGATGTGAATCCGCCGGCTGTCATTGTTAAGAAGCCAAATCCGAAGAACATTCAAAACGCAGATAAGATCAAGGAGTTGGAAGAGCAAATACAAAGGTACATAACCCTGAAGCATAGCTTCTCGGGACATACTGACATTGCAAAGGCTACAACGAGAGAGGCACGCTCTCAACGCACTTCTTCGACCACCTTCTATTCCACAGATCAAACCATTGAAACAGCAGGATACGGCACCGGATGGCCAACAAGAACCCCGGCAATCCGACGCTGAACCCAAACCTCGGTCAGAACCTGAACCGATTGACTTATCTTTATTAGACCCTTCACAGCAAAATATCTACGAATCGATAGATCCCGACTCCGCAAAGTGGAAACCTGATTCTGAGACTCGGGCGGCGTCATCGTCAGAACTTAGCTTACCACCAGTAACACCATCGGCTATATCCACAAGGCTTTCCCGGATAACCCATGCTCTAGCGCCGACCCTCGATTCATTGGCGGCCGGCATTCACGATATCGAACTTTACCGAACCATGTCAGACACCGTATCGTCGCGAGTACTGCGCATCTGCGCCGAGCGACTGGATGAACGGGATGCAGGAAACGCAATGCGTCGACTTGCAGCAGAGGAGGGCGAGGGCGAGGGCGAGAGCAAGAACCTCACCCTGCGGCCACGGCCGAGAGAAGACCTTGGTCTGATTCTTGGGGCATTAAGTCGGATAGAGAGGTGATGGGGACATATTGATGTTTAATGGGGTCGAATGAACGTCTCCCTTCTTTGTTATCTATTTCATTTGTATCCGGCCGGATTACAGTGGCCGGAGTTGTTGGGTTCATTCATTGGCGGCATACAAGCAATGGAGTTGGGGTGTTCTGGACGATGCTTGACGTGGATATGGTGGCTATGGCTATGATCGGACAGCAATTCACTTTGGCACTTTACAAGGGACTAGAATACATTTTCCTTTGAGGATTCCTTATCTAATCAGGATGCCACTGTAAACATACCTACATATGACAAACATCAAAAACGTTCTAGATTGATGCTACGGCAGCAGATTGTTTGATAAACGGTATACTTCGTCCGGATGTATCTCAGTCTCCACTGCTGTGCTTTTTGCTCGGTTGACATCTTCCTTTGTTCCTTATCTATGTTCGTGGTGAACCTCCCTGGGTCACTCGTACTCTTGCAAGAGGCTTATAGCAGCTGAAGGCCTAGTAGACACTGAATTTTGATGTGCTTGGACTAATGTCCGTGTCGAGTCATTTTCTCTGTTGCGATTATTTAGGGGTGCCAGGCCAAATTATGGTCTTTAATTGATATATATAGTTGTTATCTCAGTAAGCCCAGCTGCTGCACCGAACCGTCTGACTACTCAGTCCCTGTTATAAATTTTCTAAAAATGCCTGATTAATTAGAGACAACTCAATTAATATTAATCTGTCCTAAAAGATGATTATATATTCAATATAGTATTTAAGAAACAATAGGACAAATCGCACTTACCAGGAGGAGGCCGCCGTTTTCGGTAACCCCCCATGTTGGGTTTAGCGCCAATCCGTTGCTGGCCCGGACCGGTTTAGTGTCGTCTCGACAATTTAGCTTCCCCAGCTATCCCGCAATGGGAAATGTCGCCTGTCTCCCGTTCGAGGTCTGCCTTCATGGTTCCTCGTCGAGTATATAATCCTCTGGTAGGTCGTTCGACGACATCTCCTTCCTCATCAACTCGGTTCCCCTGAGGTCGGACGCGACCGCTCCGGCCTCTGCACTCTCAAAAATGACAGTTCCCAGAATCCGAGGCATCTGGTGCAATTGATATGCCTAATGATGAATGTTTCCATGGCTATGGTTTCAGTTAGCACCAGGTTCTTTCCTTTTTGACACATTGTGGTTTTGGACTGGGCATCCACCAGTGATAATTGGTCCTTGCAATAGCTGCGCCTTTACTGTTGAAACCCTGGGATCTTTAGTTTCGCACGTCAATGTACTGTAAGCGCCAGCATAGTTGGGTCTCCACAATTCACCTGAACGCTTACTTTTGCCATTCGACCGGGATGGAAGTACAGGGCGGTTTGGTTGAATTTGAAGCTGATATACATTTGAATGTGCGCTACAGTACGACACACCGTAGAACCACGCATCAAATGAAGTCACTCCGCATCTTAGCAAATCAGGGTGATTGTATCTGCCAGGAGGATAGTAGTATATAAAGAAACAGCCTTGGCATCCCTGGCCGCTCACCTTTGGAAACGGACACAGTTTTAACCTGATCACTACTCTGCAAGGTACCCAAATCTTGTGAACACCCAGCTTATATTGTGGACTAGTTTATCTCACAAGATGGGGCCCAGTACGTCCTATCTTTAACTATTGAATATCAAGCTGGCGACTAACCTTCCGCAGCACCTCCTCGGGATTGCAGACCTATCGTCATTTCTGGACCGTCGGGCGTTGGTAAAGGAACACTTGTCCAGAAGCTTTTTGACGAACATCCCAACACGTTCGCTTTCGCCGTGTCTCACACAACACGTAAACCCCGAACTGGTGAAGTCGAAGGAAGAAATTACTTCTTCGTCACTCCCTCTACATTTGGCAACCTCATCTCCCAAGAGGCCTTTGTTGAACATGCAATGTTCAGTGGGAACCAGTATGCCACGAGCAAAAGAACAATTGCGGACCAAATGGCTAAGGGGCTAGTTGTTGTGCTAGATATTGAAATACACGGTGTCGAACAGATGAAGGCTAACTCGAGCATTGACGCACGCTATGTCTTTATAAAACCACCAAGCTTCGAGACTCTTGAGAGGCGTCTTCGAGGACGTGGCACTGAGAAGGATGAGGACATTCAAAAAAGACTAGCGCAAGCGAAGGCTGAAGCTGAGTATGCGGATACTAAAGGTGTTTATGACAAGATCATTATCAATGATGATTTTGAGAAGGCATTTAAAGAGCTCGAGGATTTCGTTTATGGCTGAGTTTTTCAGACCATCAATGTTCATAAATTTTTTGTTGATATACGAAAATCCGAATGAATCATGTAACGTGCACGTTGATCGACTCGCTGGGAAGGCATACACTCTCTCGCAAAAGAGGACATTAACTAATGCAACCGTGTATATCTGACCGCTGAGTCTCTGCAATCATTCATGCCTCATGATTCGTGTGCACAGTATCAGTACTAGGACTTGGAATGCAATTTATGAGGCTAAATATGACTTGGCGGACTCCTGCCTCTGGATATCTTGTGTTTTATAGCGTTCCGACACATGACAGATCACTGGCTCGCAAACACTAGATAAAATTCTTAAATGCTTACCCGAAACTATTGCGGCCGATACTCTACTCCTTCGCCTATATCCATGAATACAGTTATAAGCGCAAAAACCCCAGCAAGCCCCTAGCATTCCGATAATTGATAAATTCTAAGAGTCTGGCTTAGTAAACATACTCTATATTGCAAATTAACCCTATGCTCAGTATCCAAGGCGAGATGGCCGAGCGGTCTAAGGCGGTTAGTACCACTAAGAAATACCATCTTCTCAAACAAATAACTAATAATCTCTCAGCTGGAGTAAGGTTCCAGTCTCGAAAGGGGCGTGGGTTCAAATCCCACTCTCGTCAACATCCTTTTTTTGACTTCTTGAAGTTTTGCTCGTCACACTTGAAGTGGTGGGTACGCGGATAGTTGTGGGGAACGGGCAGAAGATCGATATCGCATAAGAATTCGGGTATTAATTAAGGTCTCAATCAGCACAACAATTACATTTTACCCAGTCCCTTTGCGTAACCAACTCATGTAAAGTCCCTGCACTTCCATCCCTTAACCAGGAAGTTCCCTCGCCGTATCCCCATATAATTCCTGGGGTCGCGCGTTAGAGGGCATCTCTTTCGTATCACCGACCTGTACAGAATGCTCGGCGATTGGAGGAGCACCCGCCTCTTCCTTCCTCCTTCGCCGGAGCAAGAACCATCCCAGTAACGCTATGAGCATAACACCGGCTGCAGACCCAACTCCAATGCCCGCGGCTGCACCTGCGCTTATGCTACTCGAAGAGCTGGGCTCAGAGGTAACGGAGGGTGACGGTGTTGCACTCGAGTCCGCTGGGTCTGTCGCGGTCTATCGCGTTCGTATACACATGTTAGCTAACAAGACCTCAACGCAGGGATTGGGATCCCACTGCATACCGGACTGGTATGGCTGATGCCCATCGCAAAGAGATGGAGATTGGTTCCCTGATTAACATCCTTAAAGTCGATTGTATTCGCAGCGAAATCGGTCACGGTGACCCTTCGTTTCGTAGAATAATCATACTGCGACATACAAGGAAACCAGGGACCGTGAGGATTCTTGCTCGCGTTGTCAACACAACTAAACGAATAGACTCTAAAGCAGGAGCCATCAGCGGATGTACTTTGCGTACGGATCGAACCCTATGGCATAGATTAACCGTACGTGGGGCAGCAAACTGTCGTTGTTGGTGTAGCCGACGACCCAGTCGACAGACAAGCAGACGTGTAGCCCGTCGGGCATTGTGTCCCGGCATACGCACGCGAGGGATCCCAGGTCGATGGGAGGCAGTTGGTGGTCTGAGATGGGCCTCCTAGTACCGTGCGTTGATCGTTTTCTGCGTGGTAATCCCAGATCCAGAAATCACCTTTCCTGTTACAGCCGTATACTGATGGTGTCCAGTCGGGGTCGAGGGTGGGGCTGGGCGTTATTGTTGACATGGTAGAACGGCTCTGACGGGCGAGGATATGTCTGTCAAGGGGGAGAATCGGTGATTGCAGAAGAAGCCAGCCTTATGTGGTGTAATTCCTATCCCTAGCTCGTATCTACCGTTCTTGGCTGCATGCTGTCACGGGGGCTGGGATGACCATGTTTCTCCGGTCAATTGTCCAGCTGTTTTGCCAGTGAGGTTGTGAATCTCGGAAAAACCAGGCTTTACCAGGTACACTCAACAGTCTTTAGAATAATATAGTCAGCGTGGCCGAGTAATTAGGGCTAGACTCGAAGAAATCCGAAATATGTGATACATTCCGTGCGTAGTTGATGAGGAAGTGCCGAGCCGCTAGCATGCATACTATATGACAGCCAGTCATGTTAAAGGCGCCGACCATGCCGAGGAACGCCGGACGGCTGCCCGGGCAGTGTTGCTCCGAGGGGTTCGTCCCCCCAGCTTACAATGAGTTCTTGGTTGAAGCCTTTAGGTTATGAATACAACAATCCCCCCTACCTGAGCCTATCAAAATACTGGGACCCCACTTTCAACAAGCGATCGCCATGTGCACTTACTTGTTCCGTTTCTCCAGCGTAGTCTCACTCTCTGAGCGCAAGCTCTCTGACCACCTCTGCCATTGTACTCGCGTGTTTAACCCCAAGATCATCGCCTATGACATCCAGCTGGCCTGCAATCCACATTCGCTGGGCGGCATCTACCCCCTCCACAATGCCTGCTACGTATAATGGCCATGCGACTTGAGATGCCGACACTAACCTTGCGTACTTTCCCTGAGGATACGCCTCGATCGGGTACTGTCGTGCAGCAGACCCCATGCATCTATAACCCAAATGGTACAGCATGGATGCGCATATATCATTGGCAAGGTTGCGGATCTTCACACGTGCCGTAGACACATCGCTATAGAGACTGCTCCGAGGAATTGATGCCGTATTGGTGGCGGCGAGGAGATGATAGAAGCGGAGACGCAGGTGGCATGTACATATTTGCAACGTGCGATAGCGCGCCCAGTCATTCGCGACCCAGAATGATGAATAAATGTGTGCTACTGGTGTCCATAGATTCCAATCCTCGGAAGGGACTATCATGGTGGTATATATCCAATCTTTGGGGACGGAGTTCGGCCATTGTGAAAGTTGGTGGGTGATCGTGTTCATCGAATCGTGTATACCAGTGATAGTAGTGGAGGAGATATGTCCTGAGCTCAGGATGCTAGCAGCCTCTGAGATTTGTAAGTGGAGAATTGCTAGCTTGCAAAGGTGAACCTGTAGCCGAGACCTCGGAGAGACAAAAGGGGTCCGAAGCAGTGCATCATGCAGGGTGAGAAGCTCTGGGATCGTGAAGGGGAATTCATCCACGGTGTGGGTTATGTCGGTGATGAGGCAGGCGGGCATCTTTGAATGGATTAGATCTAACGAGTTACAGGGCAGGTGGGCCTTACGAATCGGGTGAGGAGTGCTATGTATAAGCCTTTGCTCGTCTCGTCCTGGAATGAGACTATATCTTGCGTGGACTTCACAAAGGCGATAGCGCCTCCGAGATGTGGATTGAATATGGATTGGTCGGAGCAGGGGTTAGTCAAATCCTTGACATGATTAGCGACTGTTGTATCTGAGAAAGGTGCGCTTCTTCAACAGTTGAGGAAAAAAGCATCTAATGCAATAGGCACTATACCTCGTACATACTAAGCACCAGCATAGTGAGAATAACTTCATTTCGCCTACTTGTAGTGTTACTACCAATTATCTGGCGGGTAAGCTGGAGAGCCCTGTGGTAACTGTCTATGGCTTGCTCTTGTGCATGTCGGCCGTTATCCTTTCGCACGATGAAGGTAAGGATGAGGGCTGATAGAGCCGGTAGAAGTGGCGAGGAAGGCATTAGTGACGGACTGAGTTGGGGTATATAAGTTAAGCAACCACCGTAGACGCTGGCGGCCTGTGGGAGACGGACAATGTCAACATAAAGACGATGTAAATTGGTTTGATCAAGTGCCGCAATAGGAGAGCGTAACAGAGCAGTAAATTGTGCCCTCATCCAAACGCTCCCCCAGAACTCACTACTTTGAGCAGTAGTCTGGCTATTCCGTTTAGCCACGAGCATGTCTACATTTGATCCTGGCGCTGTGCTCTGTTTTTCAGGCGTATGATTGGCGCCTGAGTCACAATAACCCTCACAATGACATTTGGCTTTCGTGCATCGCAGACATATTGGCTTTCTCTCATCGCACTGGACTGTGATTAGCCAGGTTGAAGGTGATCTCAAGATAAATCAACTCCATACTTTGACTTTGCGAAAGCGACAGGTATAACATCCACGACTCGGGTGTCCCGGGTAGACCATAGTGCTCCTCTCCCAGAAGCGCTCACTTCTGTAAGTACCTACGCAGTGGAACCTTTCTTCCTGGAGCAGTAAAACAGTAAAACAGCTCTCTGAAGTAAGGATATCTCCCTGATGTTTAACCCCTCATCTTTCAACATTCAACATTTGACTAAGACCTTTAATGGAGTTCAAAGGTCGCCAATTTGTCATTTTCATCCTGTCAGTATAGGGCATCGGCACGCACTGCCCCGCTTGGCGGCTGATCCCCGCCTTGAATCAGATGTCGCCCAGCGCTATTGGGAGTTTTTGATTCGATAACGACTTAGAGCCGGGAATCCAGGCTACAATCGAAGAGCATCAATGGTTTAGAAAAGCATGTCATGTCGCCGCTGGCTGGCCAAGGATAGGTGAATTCGGTAGCCACACATCTTTCGAAGACCATTTATAATGGATCGAGCGGGGTTACAGATTTCTCAGTTGTCCCGGCAGAAGTTGGATTGGTATTCGGTGGGAGGTTATTCGTTTGATATGAATCGGCTTGTGTATGATTAACACCAGTGGTTGCCAACAGAGAGGATAGAACTCATCATCAGGTTATACATTTTATATTCGTTATTGCAATGGACTGAAGAATAGATGTTGCACTCTTGGCTAAACAAACAAAGTGTCTTGTATGTGTTCTCCGCATGCTCGTTGCCTGTGAGGCTCCTCAGTTTCCTACTACCATAACTGAAATGGAGAGAAGCCAGACCTTAGTCTTGATTACCAGTGCCTTATAGGACTATATCATCAGCCTTACCCCAGTATTCCACATTGGTATGCCCATGGTGCGCCGACTTTAGACTCTGGAACTTGGACTTTGGATAGCCTCTTGCCAGGGTCGGTAAAGCAAGTGTTTAGTTGTGGTTCCAAACGTACCATAGGGAAGTCAGATGTCAGTGAAAATCATATTAATGAGCTGCCTTGCCTGTTACTAGGCTTAATTTGGACGGGAAACAGAGGGCGCTGATAGAAGTTTGCCTATTTATTGCCTCTCAGAGAATCCTGGTGCCATAAAGGAACTTAAATGCTCTTCTGTTGCAAGAGGTGTTTCTAGACATAGGGCATATAGTTAAGAGAGGCCATCTGTGCATTTTGGTCATCAGTAAGAATGAAAACATATTGGTCTCTTCGAAATCACAGTGATTGTCAAGGAATGAATGACAAGGGTTGGAGCACCTTCCTTGCCCTCCACCATGCTCTATTTGCGATGGTGATGATATGGACACCTGAGGATTTTCGTGCTATACACGAAATTGTGAATTGGGAAGGCTCAGCATTAAATAAATAGTAGAAATGTTTTATATGAATCAGACCTAGTCATTAATCAACCAATTAGTTCCCACGATAGGTACCTATTTTGCCCCCAGAGTGACAAAGACGATGGAGCATATATTGGCTTGGCCGGACTACTGACACTCGCAAGGCTCGTAATTCTTAGGGCCTGGCCGTGCTAAATTGCAAGCAAACACAAATAGTGTCGACATCAATCTTCATTGAGAACGATGATAGGCCACCACTATGTACCAGGCTTGGATCCGATGCCGACTTGAGCGACACAATTGGAAGTCTCCTGATAAAGACATTGGCAAAAGTGAATTGAGAGTAAACACTCGCAAGCAAACTTCCGACACATGCAAGAGTGTCTGAACAAAGCTCACTGATGTTAGGGCCGGCCCCTCGCAAGCTTCGTTTATACAAACACCAAACTAAGAACAGCCTAGCCCAGTATTCAGCAACAATGATGGCCATAAACTTTGATACCCCGGATTATCGAATGTTTGCTAATACGAGACGCTCGCAAGATCCCTGTCACTCTTTAAGGGGATGATTGGAGGAAATGAAACTCACTGTGGGTCTTGAGGTGAGGAGTTGAAGCCAAGCTGCAGATCCGCGCTGTGAACACCAGCTATTGGCCAGTGTAATCAGTCTGATAGATTGATCTTTGAATATTTGAGGTAAAGTAGAATAATGTATACCCTATGATATATATAGCGCATGGCGGCCGTCGAAGTCCATGGTATCAGAAACACCAGTACGCAAAACTAGACACAATGCTCGGAAGGCCCTTATCAATTCATTTACTCCTGGTGTCCATCTCTATGGTGGCATGCCTTGAGCATATCAATCCGAGTCCAGACGAGGCAACTGTATTCTCCTTGGTTGTATGTTTTACTGTAGCATTTGAAGCATGGATTGAAGGCGACGACTGACATACTATCTAGTATGGCTATCCACTGGTTTCATATGCCACATTTGCCCTCCGAACGCTGGCCAGGCTGAATTCAACCAATAGCTTCTATCATTTGCGAGAGCTGACAACGCCTGAAACTACAGCTGTGGTGCGACCCAATGTTGACACCCTGTATTCGGCGGCTATCCTTGATCTGTCACATCAGGATCTCATTCTGGACGTTCCTGTTGTTGATGAGCGGTTCTGGGTATTCCCTTTCTATGACGTGTGAGCTGGAGCCTTCTAATCCCGCAACAATATATCTCTGTAGCTAACATCTCATGAGGTATGGCAATAACTATGCAAACCTCGGTACTGTCTCTAATAGCTCTGCCGGCAAGTACCTATTGCGTTATTCGCCGAGCAGTAACGAGACAGCTGGGGTACAGCTTTGCGATGAGACGCAATCTGAGGCGTATGGGGACTGTAGAGGTCTTAGAGGATGGATTAATGCGCCTACTCCTTATGGTGCTATCCTTGCACGACTTGTCCTTAAGAATAACGGAACAGACGTCGAAAAAATACATGCTATTCAAGACCAGATCCAGATAGCTACGATACCGAGGGAGCGTGCTCAGAATATCCCGCCGCTAACGGTCCCTATGCTGAACTCATCTCTTTCTTCGGACCCGGCTACCAGAGTCATGCAGATGACAGCACGCTTTGCACCACACAACCCGCCGCGCAACCTTTCCGACCTTGCTAGAGTGAAGCGCAACCTCAACGCGGCCGGTATCCGGGACGGCATTTACAGATCCCAAGTTCGAAACCTCACAGAAGCCGCTGCCACTGCAGCCGCTACTATTTCGAAAGCTTTTACTCTTCCTGCCAATCATATTGACTTGAAAAACAAATGGCAATCCGTCTCTGATACCGCACAGGGCGACTATAACACGAACTATGAGATGCGAGCGTTTGTAACTGGTTGGGCATACCTTATCGTGGATGCAACCGTGGCTTTGTATCCAATGTATGACCCGACGGCGAGTAGTTCGGTTCACGAATTGGGTGCCAACGAGGCATACGTCTTCACCTTCAACAGGAAACCTCCACTCGCTAAAAAAGGCTTCTGGAGCCTGACATTATACAACGCGGATACGTTTCTCATTGAAAACCCACTGGATCGGTATTCCCTTGGTGATCGATCGAACCTTACTTACTCCGATGGCATACCTGTGTATGGGGAGGATGACCGGGATGAGCCTTTCCAGATTCTCATCCAGCCAGCCGATGTCGAACCCCCTTCTAATTGGACATCTAAGTGAGTTAGCTGAAAAGTCTATTTCACAAATTGCCTGCAACGGCGACTAACACTTTGCAGCTGGTTACCGGGACCACCTGGTGGGGGGCAGATTGACATAAATCGTAAGCGTCCCGCATTCTTTTCAGCTTTGCAATCTTTATATTAATGCAGCCGATAGTTCGCTTCTATGGCCCGGCCGATGAACTGCAGGACGGGTCTTGGGAATACCCAGTAGTGAAGAAGCAGCAGGCGGTCTCTAGTGCCGGTGCTCGGATATAGCACTTGGGGTATAGATTTGCATTTGGAGCTTTTTTTCTTTATGTGGCTGTTGGCACGAGAACTGGAGCTTATGAGATACTGGGAAAGATTCAATATATACCTCATGAAATGAAGTACATCATATAAATTGCTGGTACGGCTAGCTATAACATTGAACCACTATTTGCCTTATATAAACGCAATAGTACTGGGCTCGTCTTAGACTCATATACCCGAAGTTGTGTGGGTATATGTGGCTGTGTATCCTATGGGAGATATCCTGGAGACCATTTTTATCATGCTATTATTAAAATTCATTGATATTGAGGTGACGAATGGTCATCAGCCAACTTTGCCTTTTCTATGCATAGCCTAGATTCCAAAAATTCTCAATATTCTTCCTAGTATCCTCATCCACATAGGCTGGAGGCTCTGCAAAGGTGACATGCTCGCCGTGTAATTCTGCAATCTTGCCCGTTAACGACTCATCAGCTGTGAATTGCGACACTGCATTTGTTGCAGTAGACATCGGGGTTAAAATCATTGATTTAAATAAATCATTACTTGGCGCAATATTCGTTTCTATCATGCATTAGCCAGTCCAATCTTCTATTCCGCTGGCGTGTAGATAATGCACGAAGTATTCTAAGTCAACTCACCGATCACAGCAGGAGCCAATGCATTGATGCGGATCCTTTCAGCTGCCAGCGGGCGAGCCAAGGATCGTACGAGCCCGACCACTCCGGATTTTGTGGTTGCATACATGGGTGCCATAGGGAATGGGTATAGGCCTGCATTGGAGGCGGTGCAGACGATCAGTCCATTTGAAGAAGCGGACGGATCACTTGTGGCGTTTTTGTACATGTAGTGAATGGCAAGGTGGACAGCTGTTGAGATGGAAGAAATTAGAATCAACATTACTACTCTGCCCACATGTAGCTGTACAGTTCTCGACTAGGATATAAAACTTACTGTATATGACTCCCACTAGATTTACATTCAAGGTAGCGAGGTTTGGCTTGGGCGGTGCCTCGTTGCCATCTTGCTTTGCGGGCAACAAGCTTCCCTTCTCGGTAATGCCCGCATTGGCGAAGACAATATCGATTCTGCCTTGCTCAGCATATATTTTCTCAAATACAGCAGCTTGGCTTTCCCAAGAAGACACATCGCATTCTTCGAATGAGATGCTAGCCGATGGATGCTCGGCTTGGAGCTCCTGGAGAGTCTGAGCACCGGTCTTTGGGTTGATATCGAGGATGGTGATGTGAGTCTCAGGCTGGGAGATAAAGTGCCGGGTAATGCCCAAACCAATGCCAGAGGCCCCTCCTGATCGAGAAATTGATGATGTCAGTTCATTGATCGTTTCCTGGGAGGGGTTCTCTGAGGTTCTTACCGGTGACGATGATGCTTCTCTTCGGTGACATATTGCGATGCGTAGAGTTCAATGAAGAAGGCTGGGATTGGATATTTCTATGGCGTCTTTACATTCCACACACGGTGACAAGCTCTGTCACTGATTCAAAAGCCCCTCCTCGACAGTTCCCCACATCGCTGCCGGGGTATTCCCGGGGTCGGCGGGTCTCGATGCATTTCGACAACACGGGGATGAGTGTCCCCCGGATCCTGTAAGCAGTTCTAGCCGATGACGCGACATTAATACCCTCACAAAGTGTGGAATGCGTAATATAATACAAATGGTGGTATAATCTCCGCAAAGTCACCGTCCTTGTGTTGAAGATATCCCAATTGGTAAGGCAAACAACTGTGTACCACCCTGGGAATAATCTCACACTGTCCTGCCTGAGATAGAAGGAGCTGCAAGCAGAAAAATGCCATTCTTTGAAACTTCTACTTGGGTCAAAGACGGTGAATGGTTGAAGGCTTACCGGGAAACTTTGTCCTCTTTGGACCCATGGTGGCTCCTCGGTAGTTGGAATCTGAAGGTCAATTGCCGGGCGTAACTATGGCAGACGATCTTTGCTCCACACAGTTCCTCGCCACATCACGGCTTTCTCTCCAGGTTTGACTGTGCACGCTATCTGAATCGCAGAGTATTCAACCTCATCTCGCAATATGTGGAGAACCTGTAACATGCTCTCAGGGTAGTAACCGTTGAGTTGATGGTTCATTGAATGTAGTTTTCGCCTGTTCCATATTATGCGTTAACCCTGTACGTAATAGACTTAGCTAGTATATTGAGCATGCAGACACGATACACGCTTTCTCAAGTCGGCAAACCCCCGTGGGGAACCCCAGATTCATCGGAAATTCCCCATGACGGGGCTGGCAGGCCCCATATCACCGACAAGCAACATCCACTCTGGCTACTTAGAGCTGTTCAATTGTAATTCTAAATGAGACGGACAGAGAACTATATGGAGGCGTCGCATTCGTGTTAATGAGGGGTGCGTAGAGGTTATAAACAGGGGGTTGACCTCCTAGCAAGGATCATCCACACTGTGCCCCATCTACGGAGCAATCGATAATTCATTCGAGTTACTTACTAGGCTTAGTATCTCTCTACTAGTACTAGTTCGTCCTCTTGCATGGGCCCCATCTGTTGCCATTGCTGCTTTTCAACCTCTTTGTATCCAGTGAGAGGTATTCAATCCCTAACGAACAGTGCAATTAATTAAAGCTGTCCGAAGCTCTCAAGATGCCGCTTGGTATTCTAGATGATAGTAAACTGGAACATGTTCCAGGAACAGCACCGTTACATGGCCTTCATGAGACCAACACCTACTCCGGCATAAACCCCAGTCTTCTGAAACACGATTCCACCGAGCAAATCGTGCTTGTTCCTCAACCGTCCGACTCGCCGAATGACCCTTATAATTGGCCCCGGGTCAAGAAAGAGCTTTTCACAATTGCCTATGGATGGGGTTGTGGCTGCGTTGGGGGTAAGATGCGGCGAGATGCGGTCCTCGTACTGATCATGGACAAAGCTAACGCTTCATCTTCTACAAAATAGCGGTCGGTCCACTCCTTGGTGGCGCCTTTGTCCCACTCGCTGCAGACTTTGGTGTCTCTTTATCGACATTTGTTTCCGCCGTCCAGGGCGGCCTGATCTCGGCTATTGCCGTTGGAAGCTTAATATTCAATTCCTTGGCTGTGAAATATGGGAAACGTCCGATTTATCTTGGAACAACTGTTGGGCTGATGGTGTCATGTTTTTGGGCGGCTGAAGCCAAAAGCTTTCGCTCATTTGTCGCTTCAAGAGTCCTTTGTGGGCTTTGCATGGCACCTATGGAGGCTTTGGTTCCGGCCTCCATTGCGGATATCTGGTAATCCTAGCTTTTGTAATTGTCTGTCTTATACGTATTAACTAATCCGATTAGGTTCGTTCATGAGCGCGGGTTCCGTACAGCTATCTTCAACCTCGGCGTACTCGGTGGAATCAACTTGGCGGTCCCGATAGGTAAGTTTGTTTGGAGCAATCTTGGTCAATACATTTTCTGATATCCCATAATAGCGGCTGCAATCATTGAGTACGGATCGCATCGAATTGCATTACATGCGATGGGTGGTGCCTTTGCTCTGGCATTGATAATGGTCTTCTTCTGGATGCCGGAATCCGCATATGTGAGAGAAACGCTGAATATCGATACTGGAGAAACAAATGTGCGTGGTCCTCTCACGGCCTTTTTATATCCTCATGCTAAGTTTTGTCAGGGTGCCGTCGAAGAAAAGCTAGACGTGGAGCAGCTCGAAAACGCTCCAAGCACTAGAGTCCAAGCAGCCGATGCGCGTCACTCCTGGGCCAAAGAGCTACTACCGTACAGCGGTTATGTAAACCATGTCTCGTTCTGGAATACTATCATCCGGCCATTCTATCTTTTGGCTTCGCCACCTGTTCTTTGGGCTGTGCTTCTTTTCACCAACTGTATCGCATGGCTCGTGGGCATTTCCCTCACCCTATCCCAGATTTTCTCCGCGCCACCATACAACTTCTCCGTGATGGGGGTTGGAGCAACGAACCTGTCGTCCTTTGTCGCATCAGTCCTTGGTACCTTTAGTGCCGGACCCCTGATTGATGGCCTGGTTACCAAAATGTCCAAAATGAACGGCGGTATCTTCGGTATGATCTTTCTCTGCCGATCACTTCATACTTACCACTTACCAATATCTGTGTAGAACCCGAGTTCCGCCTACCGATTATGGTGACGTACCTTTTGTTCACCTCAACGGGTTTCTTTGCCTGGGGCCAGTCTTCCTATGCACAAGACCCGTGGCCTGTACCGGTGGTTGTGTGCTTGGGCATGATCAATTTTGGTGTCCAGCTGGGCACCACTGGCGTTGTCACCTATATTGTGGACTGCCACCGTGAGAAGGCCGGTGAGGCCTTTGCGACAATGAACTTTTTCAAAAATCTCTTCGCATTTGGGCTGTCGTTCTACCTCAATGGGTGGATTGATAACCAGGGTGTCCGTAACTGCTTCTTCACTATTGGTGGAATCACAATGGCTGCTACATTGTTCACTATCCCTATGTGAGTGCCACCTTGCCGGAATAATTGGTTGATGGCATATATTAATATGTATTTGCGCTAGGTATATCTACGGGAAACGAGCCCGAAGCTGGGTACACCGACATGGAATTGCTGATCGACTGTAAAGCACTGGGCTGTCCATTGGTTATGAAAGTGTGTTAAAGTCACTATAGACTTTGTATAGGAGTCATTCAGTGTCCCTCTATAGGGCCATATGATATTGGTATACATTACTCTCAAGTCTCATACTTTATTGTCCAATCCCTTTATATTCCAGTTCCTGCAGAAATACCATCGACCCAGCCACTCCCGTCACTGCCTCTCAAGGCAGGCAATACTATCTCCAGCAAGTACCGGATTCATTGTTCATTATTGAGACGTGTAGATACTGAGGGAAGTTCCAATGATGCCTGCCTTCACGCAACGCAGATAAGATGAGATAGTAATCATACTTGAGTCCTTATAATACCAAGCCATGTATTATATCCAGCCCCTGGTTTTTTGTCGTAGCCGTAGAGTGAGTTTGTCAGCTTTATATATTTCAAGAGAACAAAATCCAGTAACCTAGAGATATAAGCGTCGCAAATATATAGGACGCTGGCCTGCCACCACCGGATTCCCACCGTCGGATGGATGCCCAACAGCTGAATTACTGCCATCCATTGGGCGTTGTGATAGGTGTTCTCCATTGCTTGGCCGCTTTACAGCTATTTTTCTATTTGCCGCAGTAGACAGGCCAATTTATGTAGATATGGCAATGCTACTTTAACAGATATAACAATGAACGGTTCTCGATAATAGTTCTTATAGAAACTTAAGATGTTTTTTACGACAAATTCCTAAAAAGACTGTTTTTTATGAAGTGCAAAGGAAAACGCTTCGCAGAGGTAGTCTGTACATTACTTCGTATCAAAGAACCTGGGATTGACTTATATAGACACATGGAAATTATCCTATGATGAAGCCGTGGATATCCAACACTCATCGAGTTCCTAATGCCCTGTTTGACCCTTTGTGCTAAGGCAATTCATCCAGTTGACCATCGCGCTAAATATAGTTGATAAAAGAACACCGGCATGCATAGACGAACTTAACAAGGTGTCTGCTGATGGGATACCATTTTCCAAGCCCCCTCTTCTGTTTTCCGCCAGGTACTGGAACACAGTGCATTAAAAACAACAGTTTCTCTTGCTTCACTGCGTTCCTTCTGTTCAAGCTCCTTCTCTGCCGTGACCTTATAACAAATGACCCCACTGGCACCGTGGCAATCAAGAAGTCGAACGTGGCTATCTTCAATGATGTATTTCTTCCAGGGCGTAAACATCTCGCTAGTCAAAGTTGATTTCAGAGTCGGGTTCGATTCGTTTGTAAGCAGCATGCCTCCAGGGAAGAGCATTATAACATCATCGGCAAGCATGGGAAGGAGGGTGGGGCCCGAAGTACAGAGAGCCTTCCAGGCTTCTTGCTCACAGGCCAGAAGTTCGGCAGCAGAACCCATGGTCTTAACTGGATAGGTAGAAGTAAGCGTTGGCAGTAGTTGCTTTTTTCAATCTTTATGGTCTTGAGACCCCGTGCTTGAACCAGAATCGAGTTCTAGAGGGAGCTGGTAGTGGGGTTGACCCCTCTGTTTGCCGAATACGAGGTTCATTCAGGTTGTTTCAGGGCGATCTTCAGCGTAGGGCTCGGAGGCTGTAGCCTCCGAACACCAAGGCCTTCCTACTCTGATGGAGATTATGATACTTCTACCAAAGCTGTATTCTCGTGAATGTTGCTATATGGTATCTTATAATACGCTCACGAACGTCTAAATACGCCATCCAATATGATATTAGATCTCAAGTGGTGAGGCTAACTTATACTCCAAGCTATGTGATATACAAACCAAACAAGTAGAGGTCAAACCAGCATTACTTGATATCAACAGCATCCATCAGCATACAATACCCGTGCTTCTGCCCCGTCGCACCATACTTGGCCAAGTTAAGGTCTAGATTCTCGCCGACATCACGGAACCCACATCTCTTGTAGAGCGTATACCCAGCCTGCGAAGCCTCCAACCATGCGGGTAGCCGGAGCCGTTTCGCCTCTTCCACCCCAGCCATTAGTAACTTGGTTCCGATTCCGCGACCCTGATACTCCGGATGAACCACCAAGACCTGCAGGACTATGTTTATATCTGTCAGATGTATTCACTCACCTCTACAAGACAACAACTAAACCAAAGAAAGATGGAAAGAAGAAAGCAAGAAAATACTCACTAGCCACTGGTTTACCCCCAATCCACTTTTCCCTCTTCTGCACCACCATCTGACGATACTCCAAACATGCCTGCGGATAAATCGACCTCGGCGGTGGTGTAGCGCGCCTCTTCACTGCCTCCTGTTCTGCTTTTATATGGGCCTCTGCATCGCGGTAGATAACCCACCACGACCATCCCACAATCCGGCCCGACTCATCATCAACGGCCTTCTGAAATCGAGCGTGGGGGTTTTCGCAGATGACTTTCTCCAAGTCCTGAGCCAAGCCTACGGCGTTTTCTTCGCGAGGGCCGTACATGACCTCAAGGAGAATGTCATTGGGGAAGGCTTTGCTGTGGATTTCGTCGAGGGTGGTGGCGTCGGTGGGGAGAGCGGGATGGAGCGATATGCTCTTGCTTTGGGACATGATGTTTATGGTTTTATCAGAAATGAGAGGTGATGGCTGGGTTATATTTACGGGGAATGAGAAGGGGCTTATCTTGGGGGGGGGGGGGGGGCATATACTTGAATCTCATTGAGATACTTGAATCTAACAAAATATTGTGGGAGAAACAATCGATTAGGAACGAGATGGCGCTAGATCTTATTAGGTAGCGTTGATAGCAATACTCTATTCATCGATTCAAGGGTTGCGGAAAGTTGATGCCTTCGACTAAGTTGCTAAATTGCGACGCCGATGAAGCTAACGTTGGATCGCGACGTTCATAGGTTCGGACTCTCCCGGGGTCAGAGAATGTTTAGCTAATATCTGCAGAGTAAGCACATCCCTCCAGGTCCACTCAGTTGCATCATTAAAACGGGGCTGCCTGGTGCAGACGTCAGTAACAGACCCGAGAGCTTCTTTGGATAGCTGGCTGGTCTGTACGTGTAGCAAGGGAGTCAGGGTGAATAGCTAAATTAGAGTTTCATAAAACCTTTAAAAATGTAGTCCAAAGCTGAAGAAAACAATGCACAGGGGTTGATTACATATAGTTAGCTATTAGACATTATAAAAGGCCAACGTCGTATCTAAATAGGAGAAATCATCACGACGTTGCAGCATTGGTTCAAGCATCTCGGCTCCTCGAAAGCGAGACCGAGCCATCAGTATCATACCAGACTCATACCGCCATAATCCAGTGAAAGTGCTCATTCATATAACCTCATACAGTACGGCTGAGGTCAATATCCTGATCCTTCGAGTCGCTTTTCCGCATCTTATGAGTTGCACGACACGCCCACACGAAAAACCCAAAATGGATGACACTAACCATTAGTTAGCGAGAGAAACTGGAGCAGGCAAAGTTAACCTACAGCGCAATAAAAGCCATGGCCGTGCCGAAATGCTCGACATTGGCCACAAGCTTCCCATCACAATCAGGTCCACCGTTGACACCACAGCTATATCCGCCTCCAGTAAAATATGGCTCCATGAACACCAGGTATATTATCAGAGTGCTAACCAGCGCGGCCCAAGCGAAAAGGTCAAAAGTAAGATAGATGGCTGGGTGGATCGGGACGGGAAGAGATAATTCAATAGATGCTATTATCAGCGACCAAACGAAGGTGTACTCGGTCTGTCGTATAACATCAGCAACCTGTCTGCGTGAATGAGTCTTCAGATACTGACCGCTCCGGTGACTGGACTGACCAACGCATGGGTCAAGTCTGTCACGATCACCATGTCGCCTTCAAACATTGATTGGGAATACCCGAAAGCTATCAACGCAGCGAGGGAGCTGATAGCCGTTGCGAATCGCAGGTAAATTGAAGTACGCGGTGTGTGCATCTTGTGTGTGGCAGAGAAAATTATGGTTACTATTCAACGGGTTAATTTTCTCAAGCAGGTAGGGTCACCAAAAGCAATTTAGTATTGCAAGGTATTTTTTAATGACCACCTACACCTCTTAAATAAGATCGATCTTTGGTTTGGTGAGCATCACACATTCGATCCCTTACCAATAGCATCAGCCAAGACTCAGATACGAGGCAGAGCCACCTGGCCCCCAGTGCAGATCACCACACCTGTCGGGAAATACCAAGATATGCACAGCCGCCAACCTACCAAATATCTGTTCAGGCGAGCCAGGAGTATACCCAATGGGGTTAATGCTGCACTTTGATCTTTCCACTGCGCCTCCATTAAATATCTCATGCGCGACTGATCAACGTGTATTGCGTACCTGACTTTTGAACACGCCTGCATAGCTTGGTATATAGATGAGCTAAGATCAGTCTCAATCGAGCTCCACCCTGATCTTGATTGTACCAGGCTACTACTTAACCTAGTGGGGTGGTTGCAGATATCGTACTTACTGCGTGTTGTGATTATTTTAAATCTTCTGCGTTATTCAACACTATTACATCGTTTTGGTGCATACATAGGGTTTGGAAGATAAGCTTCCTACGTACTTAGTTATATTTAAGCTATGTACTAGTTCGCGAATTTGTACTTGTTAATAGATCGTTACTATTATATGTCGATACTCAGCTATTATTTCTTATAATATATTAGGCTTAGTCTCCTTTTTTCATTTCTAACCTACTGTCTTTCATTTTCTATTCTTCATAATTTAAGCGTCCGCTAGGATAGATTCCCCCTTACTTGACTGAAACGTGGACATCTACACTTAGGATGGGGCGATGTAGATCTAGGCTTGTAGCATCTATTTGTTTGTGTAAGAGTAATTGTTTCCATTGCTTACTATGAGTCAAGACAGCTAGTACCTGGCGTCCGGCTGTTCAAGCGCTACCATTCATTTAAAGAATTGCCTAACAAAGTTCTGCTGTACCATCATTGAATTTTGAGGACCTCTATCCCTGGTCCAGCGTTTTGTATATTATGCCATATAACCGCGACAAGGGTACAAGACAGTGCATTATGTTTACCTCAAGACCGTAAAACTCTAATGGCAAGAGAGGAGTACGAAGATGAGGTGCCTGACTATATTTGACGGCTACTGCACGTTATCAAACTAACACTTACATAGGGAAAGAAGTCCACGAGATTGAACGTACAGGTTAAGACAGTTGAAAAGCTTCAATGTAAGCTTCGAACCTGTATGTTCCCTACACATGAAGCCAGAAACCGCATACAGAACGAGACACAGATCCATTCACAGCATTCAAGACTAACGCCAATCAAACATACAAAGAAACATGCACAGGAAAATACCACAGGCCTAATCAATGTTGGGATGGAGGTTGTCCTTGTATCCATGACAACTGATCGCACCATTGCTCGCGACTTTCACCTTTGGAACTATAGCCTTTCAGTTAGAAAGCAGTCTCAACCATGGTATGGAGAATACTCACCCAACTCGAATCTCACATCAGCTTTACCTCTCTCTCCTGCCTTCCTGTCACATTTACATGTGAGTGTGAATGACATCCCTCTTTCTGCTGTCTTCCCCTTGTCTGCCCTCTTCCCTTTCCCTGCCTCGCCTTCCGCTACAGATTGCACCCCTTCTACCTTGCATTCTGAGCAATGACCTTTCTCAATACCATTCCCACTAGGTCCATTAGTTGTCCATCATAACACGAGAAATGACTAGATAGCATGACATCTTATACGTACTCAGCTGTCCAAGTAAATTGTCCATTTTGCTCATCCCAACCGAGGCATTTGTCCAAGGGAAGCCTTGAAACACCGATACCCGGGTTTTGATCGGCGTCACTAACACGTCGGGGTGGGTTTTCCTGAGGAGGTTGGCCGTCTTGCTGGGGTCTTGGTTTGGTGAGTTTGCCGACATCTCGGGGTGGACACTGCGCCACAAGGTGCCATCTACTGCGATCCCATTGCTTTAGAATAGTTGTCTCAACCTTGGAACACACGTAAAGCTCCCTTTTAGGGTGTTTAAGAGATTCCCCTATTTTGGAACCAACACGGCGTAGGCCACTTCTGAAGCCTCCCCCGCCCGGTGTGGAGCTCTCGCCTGTGGGCTGGGTTACAGCCAAAACGGAGAGGATTAAAGTGATGATAACCCAAGCGCGATACATTTTTGCTGGAAGATCTGATAGCGCCGGTACGAAAACAGAATATATATGGGATATATGGGATATATGGAGAAACGACAGAAAGCAGATAGAAAGGAAAATTCAGAGATAGTATGCTTTTGGAAAGACCTCTCCTGGGCTTCAGGTAGGGGGGTTTATATAAAATAAAGGATTTGTACGTACTTCGAGTCTCTGGTTGTGTTTGAGCAGCTTTTTGATAATTTAGCGAGCTATATTTAGCCCTTTGAGCCATTCAGTATAAATGTTCAGCCGTAAGAGAGTTCCTTGCTTCCTTTGTTGAAACGGCCTGGGGCGCTGGGCGACTGTTTCGGGAGTACACTACGCTTTTGTACATCAGTTTTAGGGTACTGTAGTTGTTCAGGGGGTAGTTTAAGAAACGTTTAAGAGCGCGAACCTCCTTGCAATCCCCATTACCTTACCTAGAGGAGGTATGTCTTGATAGTTGTACTACCTGAGGCCTGAAGGCGTGTCACACACATCCTTACCGATTGCCCGACGAACGTAAGCCCTTTGAACGCAATGTCGACCTCTGTAATATAACCAAATCAAATCAAAATTTAGAGTCAAAAGTTACTAACTATACCTTGAATTGGAAAAGAACCCTTTGCGATGTGTTAATGGATCTCAAGTTCTGATTTAACTATGGGGATTGCTTATAGAATTGTATCGCTGATCTTAAGAATTGTGGGCTTCTGATATCCATTCCTTGACAAGGCTTTTGCAAAGCGTATTTTTATTTTCAATTTCTTCATCCTTCACCATATATCTTGGACTTAGCACAATGGACTAGACAACAGGATATCGCCTATCTTGTTGGTATTAAGGGTCAGATTGCCCTAGAATCAACCACATTTCAACTCGGTTCAGGGGTACAGCTTAAATATCGTAACGGGAATCGATTTATCGGCAATATTGGAGACTGAAAACTTCTATCCACTCTGAGGTTATGACGAGAAACCTGTTGCTACCTATCACAATGCCTTGATGTCAGTGAGAGTGATTGCTGTTTACTGCAAACCTCTTTTAGAAGGGGAAGGAAAAGAAACAGAAAAGGCTAGATTCTAGTCCTTCCCCAACAGCTGTGGATCATTCAAAAATTTCAATATAGTTCTAAGCCGAAGAAGTCGCTTTGTGGGTTTCAAAATTGGAGCTTGGCTAACTGTGCCGAATATTGGGGTCAAAGTTACCCCCAGCAAGGACCCACATAAGGGCCTTCTCGTGTATATTCATAAGGGTTACTCCGTACATGAGCCGAGAAGGCTTTGACAGAAAAAATCTTCAGCCCCATGACACCCTGGACAAAGCAACATGCCGATCGTCCCCATTCAGTATGCCCCCCTTCTCTTCACATATCCTGGCCACTCCACCGCAACTGGCTTCCGATACCCTGACCAAATAGGCCGCGACGCCACAAGTTGCAAGCCATTTGGCCCAAGCATCGCTCCACCGTCCAGGCCCCACAGCGTCACTGCTATATAGTTGATCCCATTGTAGTTGAGGATTCCCTCGGGCACAGGGAAATCCGTTTGCGGGCCAAGGTTGTTGACTGATTGCAATTAGCAAGTACAATATAGGTAGACGTAAAACGTAGGACAAGTCAGAAAGGAGTAGGAGATATTCTGCGACGTACCAAATTTCCCAAACTGAAAGCCGTTCACATAGAGTTGACAACGATAGTTTCGCGTATGTACGTCGTCCGTTGAGCCATTGAAGGCAAATACAAACCGCAGCGGAATGTCATATCCTGTTGGTAGATCCAGGGGAAAGGACGTGGCGAAGAATCCAACGCCTGGCTTCTCGATCCCTTTCGTAAACGGACTTCGCATTTCCCATGTATTGCTTGGAGGATAGGGTAGATGGTAGCCCTGTCGTTCAGCGAACATGGCTCCCTCATTGAGAGGGCCACGGATGAGATCGCGATACTGTTCACCGCCAAGGTTTCCCGTCATCTTCCAGTGTAGGTCAGACTGATGCTCATGACCAGAAAGGGAGTAGTCCAAGATGCCGCGCGGGAACTTTATTGCGTCTGTGCCTGGGGCCTCCTCGTCGTACCCCATGTGGTCAATTAAGATGCTGATGGTGTAGGGCTTTCCCGGAGAGAGAGCCGCAAGGTTCGCAGTGGGAACAAGTGAAATGTTCTGCGCATAGAACGAAGTATCACTGCTTCCTGCCCAAGAATCGAGATGGTTATCGTTCAACCAGATGGAATACCCGAAGCCCGACCCGCCGGAGATATTTAGAAAAAGGAAGCTCTCCTGCCCGTTAGCAATAAAATGCCCTCGGTAAAGGAGAGACCCAGTGTGGTAGCCGTAGTCAAGCGCATAAAGGGAGGTTGGAGTAGTGAGGTTCCGAGGGTTGTTGGTCCAGGATTGATTGAGAACTGCCCAGGCCTCGTCATCGTACGAGAGATCAATCTCCGGTAGGGAATCGAGATATTTCCATTCAAGATCACGGAGAGTGGGAAGGGAGATTGTGGGCGGATTGTACTGGATGAGCCCATGAAGTTTACCCCTGGATGAAAGCGTAGTGTTGAGCAATTGATCATTAAACACCACGCCATTTACTTCTTGTGGCGTGGATATGACCTCAATGGTGGTGGTTGCATTGACGTCTCCACTCAAAACTAGGAGGTCGTTCTGAATTATTGCAGTTCGAACGAGGTACCCTGCTTTCACAATGATGAGATCTTTTGATGGTGAACTGCAGTTGCGGATAGGCTCCATGGCTGGTGCTTCCAGTATCCAGTAGTTGTACGCATCATTGCGCCATAGAAGATGAACCTCAAGATCTCCAATTCGGATCACCCTAGGAGTAGCTGTTACTCTCCATTGAATAACCCATGCACCCTGTTGTTGTCTGATTACAATACCAGAGACTGGACCGTCTAAAATGACTGGTTTGGATAATGCCTGCGAGAGTGCAATTTCATGCACTTCATCTTCTCCACCATATAGAACCAATACGCGGGTCGGGCCAAGGCTATGTGCCCATGTCAATACCTCCGCCGTGGAATAGATCATGTTAATGCCTCCAACATCATAATCTGTGACGTGTAACTTGGAATCACGTCCGTTCAATGACAATGTTGTATTATGCAGCTGGGGAATGGTGACATTGCCGATACTGGTCGACGCAGTTAGTCTGTATCTTGCGCTGCCCGTGAATGTAAAATCAGCATGTCTAACAACGTAGAAATTTGTTTTGGTGCCATTTCCAACCAGGGGAGTGACAGCGATTCCTGGGTTGTCTGTGTGCGAGCCGTTCTTGCCAATCCCTGGGGTTGCCGTTAGATAGGCCGGTGATACTTTAAAAAAGTTGGCTTGCAGTTTCTGTTCGCTGTACTTTTCACGCGTGAGGGTTCGGTCCTCAGCGATGGAGGCACCGTAGTCATAGGAGGTATAACCTCCATGGTATCCCAGATTTCCCCAGTTTGTACCACCATAAGTCTGGGGAAATTTAGTAAGATTTCGTTAGAGATGCAAATTTGCGCATTCTGACCATGTAGATGTTGAAGACCTTAACCCCAAAGCTGTAGTTGTTCTTGTACACCACTCGAGAGGCTTCGTGATTGACCAGCATTGCACATCCTTCCTCAGTGACTCCTCCCCTGGTTACGGTTAGATCTGTGAATATAGTGAGAGTAATTTGCTCTAGAAGTAAATAAAAATATGTACGCCATAGGACTTACCATCCCCCGCCTGACCCTCCTTGAAACTCCATAATGGTAAACGGCGTCGTGGGACTCTGCTCTTCATGCAGGATATTCCAATCATAAGGAAATCTGTACGTTGGCCAAACATCCGGATGTGCACCTCAATATAAGTTAGCTCCTTGTCTCAAGCAGTCAACCCAACAGGAGCATGCACATACAGTCATACCGCATGGGGTAAGCATCAATTCCATAAATATCTACCTCACCTAGTCCGGTTCCAGGTGCGAAGTATCCTTCCACTTCGTTGTCGTTCATTGCCATGGGCACTTCCACACCCGCAGCACGCAACTCTTCCGCCATCAACGCCATAACTTCACGATTCATCTGTGATGGGAAGTCCTCCTCCGTCAGCCCTGGCCAAGTAGTATACTCATTCTCTGGCTGGACCATGATAACCGGCCCCCCTCGTGTGATCTGTGCATCGGCAATGATCTTTCCAACTTTCGACATGTAGTTCTTGATGGAAGCCACATAGTCGGGACTCATCGATCGAATGGCTCCTTTAATACGTAGGACCCATCCCGGGATACCTCCAGCAGAGGTTTCGGCATTGATATATGGACCGGGTCGTGCGATGAGATAGATTCCGGCCTCAGAAGCAGCAGCGAAAAATTCATCAAGATTCCAGATATCAGTGCTATTGTGAATACCGTTGTCGCCGATCATAACATTTCCTGGGTTGCCTTCCAAAAGACCCCAGTCGGTGTAGAAGGAGACGCCGTTGAAACCCATGCTTTTGATCTTCTGGAAGACATCTAGCCACAACCCAGGAACTGGAAGGCGGAAAGGGTGAAATTCGCCCGAGAAGATCATGATACGTTCATCGTTGATCATGAGAGAGTGTTGATCCCAGGTGACCTGCCAGTAGTTATTAAATGCCGTACCGGAATTTCCTCATGTGATTTATTAGTCCAGTCTCCATACCCTAGTTTGAGCAGGCCCCGATCTCTTATCACGGTTAGAATTAACTGCATTTAATGCTCTTGTTGTGGATGCATCGGCAGATCCACAAATCACTGCCAGACTGATGAGCAATAGCAGTGGACACAAATGTAGGAGGCGTAATGGTAATCGCATCTCTGTTTCTATGGCAAGAGTAAGAACGGTTCACGCGTAAAGTGACGGCACATAGATATTTAATGGCGAAGGATTCTCATCCAGCTCTCCTAGGAATTAACTGCTAGGCTCGGCCCGTATCAAGACACCAGGCAGAAGAGGATTGCGGTTTGGCTTTCACGGCCCAAATTCAACTGAAACCACTACTATAAACATTTCTCTCGCCCTCATGGTACAGGCGGTTAAATGAAGAATGAGGGATAAATTACACTGGTGTTATTGAGCTCCTGCTGGCTTTGCTTCAAGCAGTAAACGTGCATTATTTGGACTCCGGCTCGAAGTCGCTTGGAGATTGGTGGAGAAAGTTGCACCAGCGCATGATATATCTTGGTTCTAGACTTTACTAAAGATGCGTTATGATCTAAAGATGTATTCAGGCTGAATCCTGGTACATGCGGGGTTAAGTATTCAACTGACGATCTCGGGGATTTCTCCGAGATCGTGGGGTTATGGTAAGCATGGCATTCTACCTATTTGGCTTAGCAAGAGCTCGATAAGTTTTAATGATAAGCACAGAAGTACGAGTTTGTTTGAAGTTCATGTTACCAGAAATTCTCACACGAAGATCACTAGGATTGTGACAGGAAGCAATATATGGGGACTGGAAATCCGAGCCAGAACATGGAAACAGAAGTTCTTGAGCAGACTTGGTGTTGATTGTTAGAACGATATGGAGGGCTGAAAAGTGCTTTTCAGATTATCCTACGTGGTGGACCTGGACTCTGATTAACGAAGCTGTAGTCTAGAGAGTATTGCGCTGAGTTGAAATGCCGAAGACTTGCACGTTTCTCATTTCTAGCCTTAGATCTAACAACAAGCATAAATGTGAGACAAGGTATGGGCTTTACTCTTGCTTTCTGGCTATCTGCCAATAAGTTTGTTGTAGGTGATATACGTAAACTATCCTCGCAAGTCTGTCTCTAATCCTTGGCCTCGTTGCCTTGAAAAAGATGAAGATATGTTATTTGGGCAAGAATCGTATTCCGGTGGAGTTAAATCTTATACATTGCTTTATTTGCTACCATGATGCACTTGTACATATTGTTATATATGTGGTTGCTTGATTCAAAGGCTAAAATGAACTGCATTGTGCAAATGTATGTCAATCACCTATTGTCAGATTTATCATGCATCACAGAAATTGTTAAACAAGGGGAAGGCGACATGTAAATTGAGCTGTCTTTTCACATAATGTGAGCATAGAAATGCAAGTCATGTTACTGATGACTGGATTAAGCTCACTAGGGTACGCCACGATTCTGGACAACTCACCCTCCATCGGGGACCTCGCTTTCATATTCTCGTCTTGGCAATCCCCGAACCAGTTGTTCTCTCATACGTGATACATCTTATTCGTATTTTGGATGGTTCAGTATACGCCATGCTGACAGCAAAATCCATTTAACATGTGCGATGAGGGTGTCTTCTGATATCTTGTCCTGATACTGGACTTTTGAGGAACCTCTCTATGAGCTGCAGCTGTAGTGGACCTTTCTAGACCATGAAAATAATGGATACAGACGAGCCTAGTCTTCTAATCGGCCATCATGCGCAGTCAATAGACATACATTGGCTAACGTTAGGGTTTGAGAATCTGATCTCAGTATCTCTCGCTATTTATTTATATCTCGTGTCTCTCTTGAATAGACGATATACTTGACCTAAATCTCAGCTTTAGTTTTGGCAAATCGTACTTCTCCTTTTCCTATCTAGTAGTTGTCCTTGAACGATAAGAATCACCGACATCATGGATGGGACATCTCAGATTCCAGTTGGAGACACTCTTATTTGGCGAGCCTATGGCCAATTCGTCAAAAGGTTGTTGCTTGGCCCCAACACCCCTAAAGAGGGCTTGGACTATGTTTATGTGTGCTCTCCCACAGAGCATGGGCTCCGTGGGGGACGACCCATTCCGGATGCAGTGACCAACTCAAATGTCTTCTCCGTTGCCGACTCTTTACAGAGGGCTGATTCGCCTCTGTTTACGATTCGCACGGACCTAAGTTACTTTGAGTCCCTCGATAAGTATGCAATGATGGGTATCACAGTTTAAGAGCGACATACTAAACATAGCAGCTATCTCAAGGCTGTGACAGTCAAGACTATCACCCAGGAACAGAAGGCTGAGATCAAACAAGCCATTAAAGAGCAGATTGAAGCCGAGGAACAGAGGAATATCGCAAAGGCTGCTGCTCTAGCAGCATGGAAGAATGATCCCGACGCTCAGGCTAATCATAGGGCTTTTCACGACTGGGCTATTGGCAATGCTGATTCGTACCTGGAGCTAGAGGAGCAGGTCACCCTGACTTCAGGCCAAGTGGATCTACTCCAGAGCAAGTATTACGGGGCGATGGCAGGAACGCTCCGAGAAGAAAGGGAGAAGCTGGAAAAATTGGCAGCGGATACGAAGTACAGTAACCCAGGGCATGGCCATATGCATCTCTGGTATTCCACAGACTAAAACCAACCCCTTTCCAGGTATAATATGCCATGCTTCATTCGTGACTACGCTATTGACGAGGCGGCCCTCGATGCAGATCGCAGGGTAGAAGATATAGATGGCCGCGATCTTGTTTATCAGCCCCTTTCCACTATTGACGGATACGAATCATCCTGCGACTCTGGGATCAAGGGGACTGCTGGAGATGATACAATTGTCACGCTGGACCTTACCTCGTCCAGATAGGATGACTGGAAAGAGCTTGGCCATTCTCAAAGCATCTCTAGGGAGGCAAATAAGTTCTTTTTCTTTTTCAGCAAGTCAAGCAGTACTAGCACTGCTGAAACACACCTTAACTTTGACGGGAGCGAAATGGAAACAGCAGACAAAGATTACGGAGTAATTGTCGGTGACAGCGGAAAGACCATGGTCATGCGTGGTCTTTGGACACAGAAGCGTGGTCTTTCCGCGCTGCGTGTTTTTTTTCTTGAATATTCCACCAAGGCTATACCCAATTTGTTTTAGGGCCATTTCTATAGTTCCAGATATCAGTGTACTTTCTTACACTGGGTGCGTATACTAAATAAATAGATAAGGATATATAAGGCCTGGATATAGCCTCGTAGATTAATAATTTGATATACAGTTGTTTATAAGAAGCTGTATAATATTGGACGTTCTGCTATTTTTATCTTTTGGGACATTTTCACTATACTATTTACTTAACATGCCTTAAACCAAGATATTATCTAAGGACGTCGATTAGAATGCCTTTGTTCAGTAGCCTGACAATAAAATAGAAAGTAGTTTCACGGAGGTAATGAAGAGTCGCATACTTTATATAAAGCAAAATTTCCAAAAGTATTGTCTTTTCTTTTTATACGAGTTCCTTCGCTGATTCGCTATTCATTCTTGATTCTCGTCTAAACTGAACCCGCCAAAATACGAACACTGGATCAAAAATATCATACTAAGGTTAATCGAAGGTTTCCTGCGCTGGTATCTTAATAAGCATAATATGAAATATTAGTCTAGATTCTTGGTCTTCGCCCAATACCTTCGGATCTTCTGGTGCGAAGAGATGGACAGCCTCTTCCCTTATAACCTTAGACGTAGGATGACAAGGGCAGGTTACTATCTATAGATCATGAATACTAGAAGCTAACTTAGTTAGTTGGTATATACTACTCTTATTGATGAGTACGAACTTGATATGAGGGCAAAGACGTAGCCGCCTAATAATATTAATAACCTCTTGTACAAGACGTACCACATCATGGCACTGATGAACGTGCATTTCGCGACTGTTCGGTGTCGACATCAATACAGTTGCCTTAGGAAGATGATATCGTCTACATCCGCACGGCCCGGGACTTTTGGTGGAGTCTGATAAATACATGAGGAGCCCCGACTCCCTTAAATGGAAGGATATCGAGCTTTACATAGTGAAATACCCAGAGAACCCAGCATGTCAGACGCTTCTTATAAGGGTTAAGCACCGGCTTAACAAAGGAAAAAGAAACAAGGGTATCGCGTAAGTCTCCTACCTTATTCTTATATATCTTGCTAACCCTTACAAGCCCAGTCTTCATGTATACCGAAAGAAATGACAACCTTGGCCTATATATTATTCAAGACATATTGGAATTTGCCTTTCGCGATGATACATTTGCTAGCAAATATATCAAAGAGCCGAGGGATGTCTGGCGCTACACGCATGTGCTAAACCACCAACTCGGCACCCCTATTCATTTTAAGGTGGAAGTCCAAGAGATCCCGGTATTTCGTCGTGTGGTAAAGTATACAGAAGGGCGATAAATCACTCATTCAACCAGTGCCTTGTTGTATAAAAAGCTCTAAGAAGATGAAGTTACGATAAGCAGGTTAGACGGATCCAAGGACCTTAGTTCTTTATATAAATATCACAAAGGAGCTGCTGCAAACCTTAGTAAGTCGTCTATCCATAGAAAGAGGATTCATACAAGTATTAATAGCTATGAAGGGCACTTGGATAAACACTCTAGAAATATTATCATAGGCCATAGCCGCAGTCACACATTTGTATACTATATTCAGGTCCAGGACAATACCCAATCCGCCTTTATAAATACCCCTACTAGGGACGCTTTGATAAAGCTGGTAACAAATTTAAATTTAACCCGAGACGCGTCTGTGCCGCAACACCTAAGTAATAAAAAGAAACAAGAGATTAAGTAATTCACTAAGCTCACTAAACTGAAGCGCAAACGTGATCAACTCCAGTACGATCTGATCGCGCAATACCATTAACTGCACAAGGCTCGAGGGACAACCCTGTACTCTGAATTTGAGCGGGCCCAGAGATAGATAAAAGCGAGACGGAAAAAGTTATACAAAGCTGCTAAAGATAAGTAGTATGACAATTTCTTTAAGCATATCAGAAACTGCATCGTCGAGGGAAATTACAAGAGACAATCCCTTACCTTCGAGCTCGATATATCTCATATTATTCCGGAGAGAAAAGCTCTTGTAGACCTTGAATTTAAAAATCGGGATATAGATAAGATCAGTGACGCTAAGCTGTTTGAGGATTGTATCCAGTCCCTTGAGATGCGACTCGGTCTCTATTATTTGGGGGTACCGAAAATACTGTAGAAATGTATCAATTTTCGTGAACCTTCGCCTAAAATAGCTAGCTATCCGGAAATATTGGATAGCCTTCCTCTTGAAAGTAAAAGTGGACTTGAGTGCCTGGTATGCTTTAGTTATCCTAATATATATTCGCGCGCAAGATAGTATATATATACCTATAAAGATACGTTGTAGAGGCACTTCGAAACGCACAACTTGAAATCGAAGTTCCCAAATGGGCGTACGTGTGATTATCCTGGATGCGAGGAGGTCTTCTATACCCTTCCCAAGTATAAACTTTATTTGGATATGGTACACAAGATTTCTCTATAGAATTATGTTGCTATTAGAATACGTTAGCGTCGTATTGCTCCATGTCGCGGGGCACAACCTAAGGTCTTCGTTTAACATACGCTCAAGTTGCACCCCATCTTGTCATGGGGTTCTGATCGTGCTACTATCTTGAGTACCATGGCGGTGAAGGCTTCAAAACCTGGCAGTCGTTCTTTACGCGCTTGACAGACGTATGAGAAACTAGTATAGGTCTCATATCATAAGATAAAAGAAATTAACACAGTCCTTCTATGCGTCGAAACTAGCTATGGTTGGCTCTAAGTACAGGTCGTAGTGCAAGGGAGCAGAGACGAGAAGACTCTGCTACCTCGAGGTTAGAGGCATAACCCTGTCACATTGTATACGTCCTATCCCGTTCCCTGACATCGTGACGCCGGAATGATAAAATGTTATTATTGTTGCTGCATACTCAAGTACGCCGCTTGGAATACTCCGTCGCCCACTCATTCTTTCTCTTCCTGGGACATCCAGCCCAATCCTCCAGTGCCCTCACTCAAGATAAGAGCACCTTTATATATACAGCAGCAGCAGCCGCAGCGTAGTTCTGCCACAGTTTATTCTTATACAAGTCGGCGTAGTCCCAAATCCTCTGGATCACTAGACAAGGAAACGTATCCATAATTCCGGCCCCTTCCATCTCGAAACGGAGAACATCGTACTTCTGGCTTATTTAATCTCAAACTCTAGCAGACCGCATAAGCTGATTTCCTGAAGCCACTAATCCATAATAGATTCGAGGATAGGTAAATCCTCGGGGCTTTCGCTCAACCCAATATTCCAAGTCGCATTGATCGCAGGTTTCACATGTACTCATCTCCTCATGTGTATATCCAGAGGCAAATAGAATGTCTTTAGCCAGTCCCAGGTGCTCATACTCAGGACACGATGTCTTGATATAGTCTAAATATTCTTGAACCTCCAAGAATTGTAGCTCCGATTCTAAAGTCAGTGTAGTAATAGCAGACAGTAAGCTGGGCTTGGCAAGGCAGGACTGTGAGGCTGTGCCATCAACATTTAGATGTGATTGGTTTTTTTTTGCACCAGTTTGATCGGATCATTCGATATTCCTTACTTACTTTAGCTGGCCTCATTATTTCCCCGTAACACGAGCCCCTCAGCTTCAGCTCAGCGTACGTTCCATTCATTTCTCCCAGCTCTTCCAGGTCTCAACAGGCCCCTGACGCAACAGTACTTTCCCAAGGTTTTCCTGTCCTATTTGCAGAATCCGACGATAATATTGTGCATCCACCGAGCAATATAGCGCCCCTCCTGGACTATCGTTAGGCACATATAGTCAAAATGGACGATATATTAGACGTTAACGAGCGTCCCGAGACGATTTTATCGCACCAGCCGAAACGACGGGGGGCATCTCACGGCGGTTCCTTGGGTCCACGGCATGACTGGTACATGGTCGGGTGGATCTGTGCGCTGCATATAGAAATGGCAGCAGCTCGGGCTATGCTCGACGAGGTTCACGACCCCCTACCACAACAAACAGACGACAGCAATACCTACGTCCTCGGAAGCATCAAGCAGCACAATGTGGTTGTTGCATGTTTGCCGCACGGGCAGTACGGAACAAACAATGCAGCGATAGTCGCAACCAATATGTTGCGAACGTTCCCTGGAATTCGCGTCTGCTTGATGGTAGGGATTGGTGGTGGTGTACCGAGCAGAGCTGATCTGCGTCTGGGCGATATCGTCGTTGGAACAAGAGTGATGCAGTGTGATCTTGGCAAATATATTGACGACGGACATTTGCTTCGGACGGCAATACCCAGGATTCCTCGCCAGTCGCTCGGGACAGCTGTGTCTGCCCTCCGTTCAAAGCATGAATTGAGTCCTAGTCGAGTTCCGACGATCCTGCAACAGATGCTAGGTTGTCAACCCGCATATAGTCGCCCAAGCATCCCAGACCGCCTTTTCCACGCGACATACAATGGCGGACCCATGCCCCATGACTGCGACGGATGCGATCAGTCAAAGCTCGTCAAACGGAGCGGCCGAGTAGGGAATGAAATAATGATTCATTACGGCGCGATAGCCTCAGGAAACCAGGTCATGAGAAGTGGCATGTTTCGGGATGACGTGGCTCGAAAACTAGATGTTATATGCTTTGAAATGGAGACTGCTAGCCTGCTTGATATTCTTCCTTGCCTGCCGATCCGCGGAATTTGTGATTACTCGGACTCTCACAAGAGTAAAGAATGGCAGAGGTACGCCGCAGCGACTGCGGCCGCATACGCCCGGGAATTTTTGGAGGAGCTACCTAGGACTGAATCACATGTCAATATTACATGTATGCCCTATTTAAGTAAATTCTCGCAGCGCTTGATAAAAGATTAGCACCTGCTCACATTGACCAGAAGACTGCCGTTTCTCAGACGAACGCCGGCAAAGTTTGTTGAATTCTCTAAAGTTCGAGCAGATCGACTATCGCAAGATCAACATCAAAGATGCCCATTCTAAGACTTGTCAATGGCTTTTCAGTCATTCCAGCTATGGAGAATGGCTCGACCCCGCGGCGTTAATGCAGCACCATGGTTTTCTGTGGATCAACGGTAAACCAGGTGCTGGCAAGTCAACAATCATGAAGGTTGCGTATGAGCGTATGAAGAGAATAGCCCGGGCTAGAAACAGCGTCACAGCATCATTCTTCTTTAATGCCAGAGGGGAGTATTTGGAAAAGTCGATTACCGGAATGTATCGATCATTGCTACTGCAGGTGCTTGAAGGATATCCAGATCTCCAGACCGTCTTAGATGATTTGGAGCTAGTCCCCCAAAGCCTTAATAGCTGTCCTCCCTTGAATAGCTTGAAAGGTCTCTTTCTTAAAGCAGTTTCTGCTCTCGGCCAACGTGAGTTAACTTGTTTTGTCGATGCTCTTGACGAATGTGACGAACAGCAGGTTGTCGACATGGTCCAGTTCTTTGAAGACTTGGCGGGACAATTCTCGGCCAAGGGCGTTCCGTTTCGAATATGCTTCTCAAGCCGGCATTACCCATATATTGCTCTTCGACGTGGAATCCGTCTCACCCTGGAGGATCAACCTGGCCATGCCAAAGACTTAGAGACGTATGTGGGTAGCCGTCTTCGAATACGTGACCAATCGATTGCCGAGGAGCTGCAATTCACGCTTCTTGACAAAGCCGCTGGTGTCTTCATGTGGGTCGTCTTAGTTGTCGGGATCCTCAACCAGGAGGATCGGCGAGGTGGGATGTCTCTGAGAAAGAGACTTGCTGAAATACCGAGCGATCTCAGTGAACTATTTAGAGATATATTGAGACGTGACTGTGAAGATACTGAGGCTCTCCTGCTGTGCATCCTCTGGATTCTCTACGCAGAACGCCCACTGCAGCCCAAAGAATTCTATCACGCGCTCTGGAGTGGATTGTCTTTCAGTGGCCTTGCTGATAGCCAAGCTCCAGATGTCACCGTTTCTGATTCTAGCGATGGCTTGAGTCGATTCGATAGATATGTCATTCACTCCTCTAAAGGACTGGCAGAAGTTACAAAATCTAAGAAGCCAACCGTGCAATTCATCCATGAGTCCGTTAGAGACTTCCTTATCAAAGACAAAGGCCTGTGCGAATTATGGCCCGAGTCAGCGTTGGACCACGAGAGCCTGGGCCATGAGAGATTGAAACAGTGTTGCTTGTTCTATCTGAACCATACCTCGGTGGTCGCATCCGTCGACAAATTGCTGTCAGTGCCAAATTCGAACAGGTCAGTGGGAATCTTGACCAAATTGCCTTTTCTGGAGTATGCCGGTCAACATGCCCTCTACCATGCCAACATTGCTGCGAAACGATTTCCTCAGAGAGAATTTTTGCTCTCTCTCCGGTTTTCAAATTGGATCAAGATCCACAATGCCTTTGAAAAGTTCAAGGTTCGTCGATATACCGAAGGCGTAAGCCTAATGTACGTTCTCGCCGACAACGGTCACTCAGAGCTCGTTCGAATATGGCCCAAGGAGGAGCGGCAAGAATATACACCCAGGGAAAGGTACAAGTACCCGCTATTTGCTGCATTAGCGAACGGTAACAAGGAGACCATTGCCGCTATACTGGACTTGCCTTCATGCATTTACAATGGGATAGATCTTACAGACGGCCTGAACAACAGAAAGGACGTCAAGGGATACGAGAATCGAACCCCTCTATCATGGGCTGCTCAAGAAGGGCGCGACACGTTAGTCCAGCTACTTCTTCATAACGGAGTGGCCATTGACCAGATAGACCAAGCAGGTCTCACAGCGCTTTCGCGGGCGACACAGAATGGGCATGATACAATAATAAAGCTTCTGATTGAGAACGGGGCCGATGTCAATGCTAGTCCGAAAGGTAGATCAACACCACTTCTACTGGCTTTAGAACACGGGCATGAGGCAGCAGCCAGGTTCCCGATCGAGAACGGAGCCAATGTTAATACCAGCAATAGATAAGGCTGGACACCACTTCATTGGGCGTCAGCGAGAGGCCATGAGGCAATAGCAAGGCTTTTGTCTGAGAACGGGGCCGATGTCAATGCCGGCGACAACAACGACTGGACGCCACTTCAGGCAGCGCCAAATAATGGGTATGAGCGATTGGTAGCGCTCCTAATTGATAAAGGGGGCGATGTCAATGCCGGCAACAAATCCGGATGGACACCACTTTTACGAGCGTTGGTAAGAGGCTGCTATTGGGTAGCAAAAGTCCTTATTGATAGTGGTGCAAACGTCAATGCTCACGATAGAGACGGATGGACACTACTCTTCCGCTCCTCGAATGCCGGTAAGAAGGCGGTGGCAGAGCTTCTCATCGAGAAAGGAGCCGACGTGAATATCAGTGATATAGGTGGGTGGACACCACTTTTACAGGCTTCAAGCAAAGGTCACAAGGAGATAGTAAAGCTCCTTAGCAAAGGTGCTGACATCAATGCTAGGGACAGGGATGGACGGACAGCCTGGCTTCAAAAAATGGCTTTGAGGCAGTGGCAAGACTCCTTATCGAGAAGGGAGCAGACCCAGTCTGATCTTCACCTCAATGAATGTATCTAATAACGTGGTGAATCCTGTCGTCGTAATATAGAAACAAAAGAGATGTATTATGCCATAGCGTCAGCAAACGCAGCTGATACTATTATGCCGACTGTCTACGTTGCAGCGCGAGAAGAATTCCATAAGCTACTGGGACCTCGGTGCTCGACATACACACCATGAGCTCTATATGCAGCTGGATGTCTGCCACAGCTAACTTGGAAGTACGTGCCTCCAATTGAGTTACCATGCAGCCTGTATTCGGTCAGAGAGGGACGAATTTGGTCATATTCCTGCTGGCTGGTCGACACTAGCGCTATAGGTAGGTTGAAAGAAACCGGACTGATCCTAAGGTGCCTGGCCGCAATAGTCTACTGCCAACCTCCAAATAATCTAAACTAAACGAGCTTCCCTTAATCCTAGGTGTTCCCAGGTAAGGCTACACTGATAATGACTTAAGACTTTAGCGGGTCAAACAGCGTACGCCACCATAACGCCACCAAACCCTGTGCCGCTCTCTCATTGGTTACCGCTTCCCCGGCCGAGCTTAAGAGAATCGTGGAGCCGCCGGCCTTTTGAGACAAAGGGAAGCTTTGGTGTGATTCATTCCACTGACTCCCTCCTTCAGGGAATATATTTGAGCGAGGAACAACTAAGCTTCCAATTAGGAATGCCCGGCTTTTTTTTTTCTTTCACGTTCAAGAACGACACTTCTTCCCGCGCCATTATCCGATCAGCGCCTCCTGCTCGCCAAGCCTACTGGTTCGGGCGCTCCGATAATCGAGTCTTACACGGACAGCCAAAAAAGAGTATTTTCTGCCATATTACCTTTCATTTGTTCGATCCTTACCAACCAACCTAGGAATGTGCGACCAGAACAGCCTACACCATGCGCCTCATCCAAGGTATCGGTCGCGTGGAAGAAAGCGGGAGTCAAGCTTGAGCAATTGCTTAATATCAGCTTTGTTGTTGAGTTATCATAGCTAAAAAGGCAACCGGAAGACAGCATCCGACTCAGATAGGGATGTGCCTGGAAATGCGATCCCCGACAATCGGCTACTGAAGGTCGTCTGCGACTCCAGTGGCATCCATTCTCTAGTTGCCAACGTTTACAATAAGGAAGGGGCGGGGTTCCTAGCCAAGGACACACGCAGTAGCGCCCACCCGATACGTACGGTAATCCAAGAGCATGGTCGTATACATCAAGGACAAGGAACTAGGGGCTACATGCTACCATGCGATGAACTCGAGAAGGGCCGTCTCGATTTCATCCATACCATGATGATGAAAGCGCTGCGCTCCGACCAACCAATTCACGTCCCCCATCCTGAAAATGGCCGCTTCTTAGATCTAGGGTGTGGGACCGGCCTCTGGGCGATTGAAGTGGCGAAGGCATATCCAAGTGCCTACGTTCTGGGGGTCGATGTGTCTGCAATCCAGCCAGATTCTCCTCCGCCAAATTGTGACTTCAAGGTCCCTTTTGACTATGAGCGTCCTTGGTTAATGGGAGAAGGAAAGTGGGATGTTATCCATATGCGAATGGGGTGCGGCAGCGTCACCAATTGGCCAGCACTTTACAAGAGGATATACGACCATCTGCATCGCGGTGCTTGGTTTGAACAGCTTGAGATAATTTTTGAGCCTCGTTGCTTCGGTCGACGACTGAGATTCGGCCCGCTCCGATTTTGGTACTACAACCTGAAGGCCGCGACAGAACAAACCCAGAGCGGAATCGAGCATTACTCAGGTCAGGTACTGCAGTGGCTGGTGGATGCTGGGTTTCGCCAGGTCGGCTGTGAGGAATTTGTGCTGCCCCTAGAACCGTCGATGCTCCCCATCCACGACAAGGCATCTGTCCGATGGTACAGGACAGCCTTTGCCGAGAGTGTCCTGCTACTCTGTTTGGCGCCGTTCAGCCGTGTGTATGGCTGGTCATATGACGAGATCCAGTCACTCGCGACTGCTGCGGTAGCAGAAGCTCTTGATCCAAGCAGAACCCTTTTCTACACCTTGCGTTTGTACAAGGCGCGGAGGCCTTTGGACGAGGCGACTGTTTTTGGTGGAGCCCCTCCTTGACCAGACCTACTGTTTCAGCAGGGCTCCCCAGTATACTATCTACCCGGAGATCCTGGCAGACTGTGTCCAGTGCCACCTTTTCTTCCTTGCGCGCCATCGCCAACCAGGTAGCGCTGGGGAGAGTAATATAATATATGTTTAAGAAGCGGGAATATTATAATACCATGGTTACAGGCATGTGGTCAAAACGATGTAATCTCTATCTTCGAGTCTTAGCCTATTCTGCCCAGGAAATCAACTCCCACCTCTTTCCGACGCTATCGAAGCGTGGTAATACAAGGTGCTCTGTTGTGCCACCATCCTTATCCATATTTAATAATCCAGAGTTGTATCCGCTTCCCCAATACCCCATGAAAAAGACATCTGGTCCTCGCTTCAGAAGGGATACCACGTCTTCCACTAGCAGAAGCTTAAGGGTCTCGCCGGCTTCACGCACTTCGGTGGCTTTTGCACACCAAAACTTTCCTATTTCAGGGAGTAAGTCGGGGAATTTATTAGCGCTTGAGCATAAAAGACAAAGGATCTCTCTTGTATCTACGTGGTAAAATGTGCCGTAAGGAACGTTCTCTCGTGCTTGCCCGCGAAGGAGACTCTGAAATTCTCCCGGAGACAGCGTCGTCGAGTAAGTACATGCATCCAGGGTCTGCCATTTGATAAAGCTAAGCGCAGAACTCGTCAGAGATGAGCTAGCTTGGGTCTCGGCTTCCGTACTTCTGCGTGCTTTGTCGAACGGTACCAGCTCTTGATGAGATGGCTCAGGCACCTGATTAACGGGCACCAGTGCATTCACGCTTCCAACATCATTGGTCAAGGATAGCAGGACGTGCAACTGTAGAGGTGACATATCCCGAGTTTGCTCCGTAGGAGAACGATTTGTAGCTGGCATCAGAGGGTCTTCGCTTATCTCTGTATCATCATGGACCGCTATAGTCATTGATCCGGTTCCAACCGTCTCCTTCGATAGAGGCGCCTCAGCTTCAGGCTCCAGGTTGACCGAGTGGTTAGATACAGGCTCCGTCATGCCAAGGTCGTCCAGAAATTCAGGGACAAAGGACATGAAGATGTCTCTCTTCACAGCGAATTTTGACAAGTCTTGGCCTTGCATGGTGCTTTGAGGGTAGTATATATGTTGTAGGAACAGATAGTCCTGGTCGAAAAAGAAACTCCCGATATCCGTCATACCACAGCGCCTGTCCAATGACCAGCGTTCCTGGACATCTGTGACGAGAGCAGGACGTTGTTCCTGAGTCCGCCCCTGCTTTATATTCTGAAGTACACCCACGACCTGAGTGCTGCATTGTATAAGGACAGACGGATCATATTCGAAATCCCTTGGCGGTCGAAGGCGCGTCAGTAGGTTATAGATAGCGGTGAACTCTGGACTATACTGGACAGGTCTTGTCGAGATGCGAGAGCCAGGCAAGATGAACCCAACCGTACGAGTGAGTTCTTTAAACTGCATCCATAGATTTTCCGAATTGGGCAACTGGCCCAATCGCGCGTAACGGTTATGACCAAGTGGGGGCGAATCAGAAAGGCCATAGAAGTGACGCATGGCAAACAGAAAAACCTGACGATATGCAGACCAAAAGCCGTAGCCATCATTCGGGTGTGGCCTTTCCTCCACGCAGCTCTCAGCAATCTGTATCGGAAACCGGTTGTTCTGTAGGCGAACATAGAAGCGATGCATTGTCTGACGGATCGTCCCACTAAATTTGGGAGGCAGGAGTCGTTTAATAACGTATACCATGGGTCGGATGTATTTAATGTTCTCAAGGAATATCCGTAGAGATGGGATAATCCCCGTATACTCTAGGGCAGCCTGCCGAAGTTCTGAACGGAGCCAGGTATCTGAACAGAAAGATAACGCGGCATCTTGGTTAAACACACGATTTATATGCAAGCGGTCGGCCTTCGAGAGAGAAGGACATCGTCCTTTAAGCTGCTCGACTATCTCGGTGTCTAGTAGGTGTAGCTGATTGCAAGTGAGGCTAACCCAGGTAAAATAGATGTAACTAAGATAAGACGCAAGCTCCTGGAATGGTCAGCACTCCTTTCCTATAAATAGTTATGTCGCCTGCTTGGATCATCCTCACCTCTGGGATCTTCAGACTGGATAAATACAGACCCATAAGCCAGGGGCTCCAAAACGCAGGGAATTGTAGGAGATTATCAAGGCTCTCGCGGAATGCGGGGTAGTGATCAATCTTGGGTTGATATATTTCCTTGAAATCACGGCATTCCGATGGTGACTACTTCGCTAGCCATTCCCTCGTAGCCTCCGTCTCGCCATGTCTCTGATAGTATCGCACGCTCCGGAATATATCGCCGTCGCAGAACTCTTGAGCGCTTGCCTTAGACTCGCGCAATTTTCTCCGCGCGGCGGGAGTCAATTTGGTGGCATCATAGAGATATAGAATCCACCATTGTTTGTTCGGATTGAGCCACTCGGCGGCGGCTGAGAGTCGGTGCTGACCTTGGAAGCAGCATATAGTACACTTGGGAGGCAACTTGATGCTGGCTGGGTTTTCCAAGGACAATTTACTCAGCGAATTTGTAGCCATTATCTGCTCTAGATCAGGAGGTGTTATCTCTGCAGGAATCCATGTTAGAGGATCCAACCTGCGACAGCCTTCCTAGTCAAAGCAATGGATCAAATGGCGGACATTGCCTTGATTCAGGGTTCGTGATCCGCAGACGTCCAAACCATCAAAACAGAGGGATTCAAATTGAGAGACTTTCACTGAACCCACCAGCGCGCCCTGTAATTGCTGTGCAACAGCTAGATCTGTAGCGGTCATGACGTTGTGGAGGATGCTAGCTAGAATGCACACGTAGCCACTCTGTCCTTAATCTGCCGGGTGCTATATGGCACGCCACGGTAGAGGTAGAATAACCGTGGCTGTTCTCAGGCAGGCGGTTACCGGGGGTCAGCCCTGGAACCCTCAAGTGTGGTGGTTATCTTAGCGCGATAGTCGAGTGAAACAAAACCCGGCGGCACCACGCGACAAATCCATAGCCATGAAAATAGACACCGAAACCATGGCTTTTCTACGGATATTTGAAGTCGCTATGGCTCGGGTTACTTTTTATGGGTATACGTTTGTTATAGGTCTCACGCGACGACCAGATTCAACCACACGCCACAATGGAACTTCACTCGCACCGTCAATGGGTAGGCCCATTTCAGATAATACACTGGCCGGATCAGCCAGGCACGTATGGCCGCGGTAAGCTTCCATATCTATACGTCAAATAGAGTGGCCCCGAGGCTGACTGGGTGTAGCAAAACATGGTCTTACCTTGGAGGATGCAAGTGTAAGAATATCGTGGTTCGGTAGTATAGTACACCAAGCCCATACCCTTCAAGCTGCTGCCAGGGGGGGGATACCTGTCTTGCATTGGTTTGAGACAGTGAACGACAAGGAAGTGATGATAATGGATACAGTGGGACCAACCTTGGAAGAAGTCTTCACCAAGTTGGGTCGTTACTTCGGCATGCGCACCCTTCTTCTGTTTGCTGAGCAGATGCTCGCGCGTGTGGAATTTATCCACTCCAGGAACATTTATCATGGAAGCTTGGATCCGTGGTCGTTTGCCCTTGGCAGCACCGGTTGGCAGTTACAATAAGCTCTTCTGGTGGATTTTGACACCGGGCCCGCCCAATTGGCCTCTGCGCAGGATGATCTTTACGCTGTTGGTCGAATCCTGGCCTACTTCTATGGTAACTGGAGCTCGTGGGATGAATATTTACAGGAGGCCGGACCAAATATCCCCAGGGATACTGCCCCTTTTATATCCACTTTCCTGCATAAGGCGTCTGCTAGCAGGACTGTGGATTATCTGGTTTTACGATTAGTCTTTCGCGAGGTCTATCTCGATCTGGCCACTCATCTTGCAATAGGCCAGAATTTTAAAGGGCCCAGAGCGATCTGCAAAGGCTTTAGTATTGATCCCGGTGCCCTTTCGACGATGGATACAAGCTCTCTCTTCGAAGCCTTGAGCTTGAAGCTTTCGAAGGCCGGGAAGCAGGTTCAATTGCTTCAAGGCATTCCTACCCAGCGGGAATATTCCCAGCTTTTCGAATGTCTGGACGAGATTCTCACTATCTACGGCGTCCTCATCACCCGTGACCGACCGTCTGTTCAAAGGGAATAGCAAGCTATGGGAGCCTACCATCTTCCCAATCGTCTATGGAGAGATCTACGTTGGTTTATGAGGAGCACCGAGCATGAGAGGATCGAGATCCGACTTACACTGGTTGAGAAGATATACAAGTATATTGCAGTCCTATACGAAGCAATCCTCTCGTATCACACTTTCTAGACCGAATATCTTCTGGCTCTGGCTTGTGCCAGAAAAGATGTGGAACCTGGGTCGGGAAAACCTGCCTGGACTTAAACTGTGTTTTATTGGCAGAACTTGTCCAACGTGTTAAGAGTTGGGGATTGTTTTAGTGAGTCTTTTCTTTGACATTACAATACGCTAGGTCTATGTATAAGAATTACTATAAGAATTTTATTTGATGCCAGGATTCAACTGCTAGCAATCGCTGTTCTGAGTATAATATACTATGTCTACGCCTGCTTGTATCATTTCAGTCTCGGAATGCCATCCAATTTCAGAGATGGTGGCTTTGAAATAGTGAAAAGCCGTCCAGTACAAGGTCTAACGCTGTCACTCTACTTCATCGACTTGGTTTTGTCGAAGTTAATTAGAGTCTAAGTATCAGTCTTCGGCCAATAGTCTACCTAATGAAATTGAACGTTAGTAACCAAGGTATAGATATTATTTTCTAGTATATATACGACATCGTTCGCCGGCGGTACCCAATTATTATTAGGGTGGGAATTATAGGTCGAGTATCGCACCGTGGCATGACGACCCTTGGTCACAGTTATTACCAGAGCGTAAACACGACGCTCTCTTCCGGTGTCCAAACCATCTAAGAAAAGATCGTTTAAACGTTTATAGGATCCACGCTTTCCATGACGGAATCTCTCCCTATCGGCCTTTGTCCTTTTCTTTGGATCAGAGTAGGCACCACCCGTTTGCCGTTTCGACCTCCAAGAGGCAGAGTTTTGCTAGTTGCGCTTGGTGTTCTCCATGGTATGTGGATAAATTGGGGATGACGGACGACTGGGAGCAAACTTGACGACATTGTTGGTAGCAAGCATCCTTTATAGGGCCACTCTAGATAGAAGGCAGGCCACGGTTCTTCTGTAGACTGCTATTTTTGTCGGCGTAACGACCATGGTTTCCTCAGGCGGCATAAGCAGGGACCCACCATCTCAGCGCTTCTCCAGACAAGCGCCAGCACCAAACAATGCCCAAGAATGGCAAAGTTTTTGTGTACCAAGTAGCTATCTAGGTCTCCCATCTTGAAAGGTAATTAAAGGTGGAATGTACGGTCTTCCGTTGTCAAGTGGTTGTCCCGCGTTCCTTTGTCCTGTAGGGATCTTGGAGGAGTGGTGGAAGAAGTGGCAGGCGAATGGACCACTTTCTGCTTACCAGAGCTTAAGTTTGGCGGCAATGTCATCAGTTTTATGGAAAGATAGTCCTTTTATTGGATGTCTAATGATAAACAATTTTCTATTTACGATGCATATAGTCGCGCCGGTAGAACCGAGAATAGAACCTACGTCCTGAGATAGAATAATTATTACTACAGTTAGATCTCTGTCAAGTATGTGGGTCTTTGCATATGCATCTGCAGTCTCCTACATTAGTCTAGTATCTACCAACAAGGCAGATCGCTACATAGGATAGAGATAAGCAAATATACAAGATTTAATTTAAAGACGGTAGCAAGTTAAATATACATATGCGATATTTGGTAGCCCCGTTGGAAACCTTTTGATCGCCTCTTTTCGGAAGTATTAATCAGTTGTTGATGAGAATGCTTGTCCTAGTTCGCCTAGTGCTTCTATAATTTCCAGTATCCGTGGATATACGTTGGCTTGTAGGTAATCCAGAGTCCTGAAATCCTTTTAGCTTGACTAAAATAAGATTTTAGACAGAGCTAATACTGTATCAATTATTCTATCCTATATACTTATTAGGATCGATAGGAATGAAGCCTTCGGCTCTATGTATACGTACTCTTTTCTTAAGGCGTTGAGTTGTGTTCGTATGTTTTCTATTTCTTTGTTGCAGGCTTGTGGGTCAGCATGGTCATTTGAGTCGCCCAAGAATGATAAGGCCGATAAAAGCTGAAGGAGGATTCGATCGAGTCTGGGTCTAAGGTGTCCGAAAGTAGATTGCAATCCATTGTGGTGCATAACGACGCGAAATATTCAACAGAGGTAAATATACTGACCACTTTGGTTGCACTTGCTAACTATATATTTACAAGCTTTTCCTCCGACAGCATATCACGTACTTGCAGCACATCGTTCGCCATACGGTGGCCCGCGGAGAACAGATGCAAACCGACTCTTCGCAGGAAAACAAACACTTAGCTGCTCGAATCGAAGAGCTAGAAGCTCTGAATGCGTCGTACTTCAACCAAGGGCTTCTCATGGGGAGGCGAGATCTGGAGACAGAGCGGAACATACGGCAGTATGCTGTTGCTGCGGCCCAGCGCCACCAGCAAGAGCTGATTTCCTGCAGGACCGCCCTTGCCGCGGCACAAACAACGCTGGAGGTCAAAGAACACCAGTTAAAGGAGATGGCCCTGGAGTTGGACCGAACGCAGAGAAAGTTCCATCTAGTGGATACTCTGGTGGATACAATGCTTCTCGAGGAAGATAGTCAGCTGGAGATGACGGATCGATCCAGGCAGATTACGGATGTTATTCTTGGCCTCGAAAACCAAATGGAGGCAAGATATCGAAGTTTCCTAGCGGAAAAGGATTCAGAAATCCTAACGCTACGTCACATTCTCGAACCTGAAGGGGAAGGAAACCGTGTTCGAAGGGCCAGAAGTGAACCAAGTTTTTAATACTACGGGGGATAGAGACTTTTACTATTAAGGAACTCTTAACAACAGACTATCCTGCCGTAGAAGGGCCAAACGCACTGTAATAAATATATCACACGTTTCAGGAAGCTCATTACCGCTGTTTGAAAAAAATATCCGAGCCTTTTATTTTTTAGAATACACATATAGCCGCCGGCGTGCGCCCAGATTATCTAATAAATTTGGGTCAAGACCAGGTGCTTATCCAAAAGTGTGATGCGGCTCTTTTTGAAGGAGTTCAATTGTCTGATACAGCCATACATGTTCCTTAACCCCTTTTTGACTTTGAGGTCCTTTACTGACACTATTGTTCAAAGAAGTAGGTCAAGGATTTTAAGCTCCTTTGAGTTTCCTATATATTATTTAAAAATTAAGCTTGCATATTAACGTTTAATCCGCATTCCAGGCACCACAATTTATATATGATCCACTATTTGCAAAAACAATTATACATTTTGGTGGCCCTTTCTTTCTAGGTATTATCCCGGAATGACCGCGAGAGCGACATGCCCAATTAAGGGACAGTTATTGTCAAGTGGGACGACCGCCAGGACTACATTAAATAATCCTAAATCTTTAATGTATTGAGATGGGTGAGGTGAGTAAGGGCATTTTATCTAGACAGTCTAGAGCTATCTATTAGATAAGACGTAGATCTAAACGAGATATAGTATTTATAAAAATACCTACCTCGAGTGATATGTATCTAAAAGGATATGATAGGGTTTGTTGGTTGATTTGTCGGCTTGGTTTTATCTTTAGCTTTCTTCTTTCGATGTTTTCCTACGTCGCTAGGGTGAGATAATGAGGCCATAGTTTCTATGGGTTTGCGTTCTAGAAAAGCCCTTAAATAAAAGGGGACTCGGGTGTATCTATGAGCTGACCACTGCTAAAACTAACTTTGCTGTAGTAGAAATCCATGTCGGGAAATAACATACGTATTATATCTGGCTGAGGCGCATATCTGGTTGGCCCTTAACCTCCACGATCGACCCCCTTGCTGTGAATTGACAAAATCTTAGGAGTAGGATCTCTAGACTAAAGCAGGATTCAGCTGTGGGATGCGGTGGTGGCATCCACAGTTATATTTTCGTTGGGCGTGGGCGGTGTGCAAAACAAGAATTCGCAACGAAGCCAAACTTTCTATAGTGGTAAGCAACGGTAAGGTCTAAGTCTTACCCGTCTCACCGCCGACCCCCACCTTCAGTAGGGGGTCGGCTACGGCTCAATGAAATCCTTGGCTCAATGAAATCGTCTCATTATATCGATATAGAATACCAAAAAATCGCCATTTCTATATAAAATAAAGCTATTCAAAAATCTCCCTGCATATCTATAGTATATAGATTTTCAGATACCGCATTTTCCTGACTCGATAAGATTAGCATAGAAATATTATCAATCTTTTCACCGAGCCGCTCCATAAAGGCCCTATTCTCCTGGTAACGCTTTTTAACTATAGACTATCAACAAGTCTCTATACTAGCCTTATCTTTAGCATCAATATAACGCCGTACATCCCCTATATAGATAAGGCCATCTAGTTTAATCTAGCGCTTAAATCTAGATATCAATTTATAAAATCTTTTAACAATCTATAAAAACTTATCTAAAGCTATAAAGGCTATATATAGCACCTTTCTCTGCATTGTATAGAATACTCTATAAAAATCGTTCTATACTAGATAAAAGCTTTTTTTTAGAACTATGGCGTATAATAGTCTCCTTCCGTATAGAATATAATATTGTAGGTGTTTTAGTAATTAATTTAAGCAGCGGTAACAGTATTTTATAAATAGTAATAATAGTAATAGTAGTAGTAGTAGTAGTAGTAGTAGTAGTAGTAGTAGTAGTAGTAGTAGTAGTAGTAGTAGTAGTCGTTATTATCGTCGTACAGCCAATATAAGACGTAGATAGCTTATTAAAATCCTCAATTCTATAATTATCGTTATATCTCTATAAAATATTTTAATCATCATTGGTCCAATAACCTATTTTCTGTAGAATAAGATTAAAATTAAATAGCCGGATACCTATATCTCACTAGCCTACTTAAATAGTCGCCGGCGTCAAGGTATTGTTACAGACTCTTGTCTAGCGCACCTTATCAAAGATAGATATACGAGGTAGAATAACGATAGAATAATAATAGCCGATCCCTAAGCGAAAGATACTTAACAAATTATTTATCTAATAGTTATTTAAAAAGAGCTATTAATATTAATATTAGCTATTATAATAAGTTATATATATTATAGTAGTAATATAATTAAATATATTAATAATATAACGAGCTTGTAATATTAATAAAATATATTATATTATTAATATAAAGAGTTGTAGTAGTAATATTATAAGAAAGGATATATAAGAATATTTATTTTATATATTTAATTTAGTTCTTTATAATTAATTTATAATTATTATTATAAAGTTACCTTT